AAAAACAACCAAATCCTCAAATGTCATTTAGGGGGCTGATTTCAGTGGAGCACCAGACATGGTGCAAATCGAAGCGTTCGGATACGTGTTTTCCCATCAAATTTTCACGCAGAGCACGGTTTGGCAACGAAAATTACTAAAAGTTACTCCTAATCAATAAGATATGAACCATTTGCGATGTAAAAATTCAAACTTCCCGCTAAAAAAAGTGCATTTTTTTTTGCCATTTACGCATTTGCCAGGCAAAAATTCGTCCAGAAAAGTGCTCTCTCAGAATTTCATCGATCATCACTTAACGAATTTCATGTTCAACAAGTTCCTCATCAGTCATCAAATAGTGCTTACCTCCGAATTTAACTTCTGCCTCATCCGATTGCTTAAATTTTTAATGCGGGGTCTCCATAATGCACTGTCCCTGTGCTCCTCTCTGAATTATTATCAAATATCATCAAGTGCACGTAAAGAAAGAAGTTCATTTTTTAATCGTAAAAGCTCTCTCTCGCAAAAACAAATGTAATGCAATTTAATTGAATGTCCATCCACTCTTTTTTGTCGTAATTATTAATTTTCTGAACGCAAGATCATTTCTTGGAACTTGATTAGTGGTTGAAATGTCACTTCGCATCCGTAGACCTTGATCTTAAATCGCGGCTGAAATTGCGAGAGAAAGAGCGGTATCACCTCTCAACGTTCTAGGTTTTAAGGCAAAAAATCGACCTTTCCTCAAATTGCGAGATTTCTTCGAAGTTGAAGAGATAATACGGGTGGATACTAGAGGGTCCGTGGGATCTTCACAGTGCACTTTTTTTGAGAAGTCAGTGACCTTAATGATCGATTGAAATCCAACGCTGTGTTTTTCCTCATTTTTTTGTTACCGAATCGCTTGGATAAGTCATTTCTGGTATTATGTCACATTTAGTTTGTAATGCGCCTCTCCGCTTTTATTTCATCATAGCCTGGCGTAAACTTTCCTTAATCACTCGTTGGCGCATCTGCCTTGGCTAAATTATTTTGTCACTTCGTGTAGAAACAAATATTTCGCAGTGACAGGTGAACTTTGCGAGAACAGTACTTTGCTTTAAACAGAATTCGATGATCCCAAGATCTTTCGCTCGAGATTAACGGGGTCTTTTTCTGGAATTTCTTGTTTGATAAATTGATTGTGGTAAGACATTTAGCCTGCGTCAATATGTCGGAAGCAAATTAGCAATCGCCGGCAATTTTTAATCAATTTACGTGACTTAAATGTTTTAAGAAAACTCACTTGCACGTTGTTTGGACGTTCTTTCACGAAACAACGTGCAAGTGAGTTTTCTTAAAAAACTTAAATTATTACGTAGTCATGCGAACCCGAACATCAACGTTAAATTCACGTGACGTTTCGATGCGTTACAATAATGAGCACAGCATAATGAAGGTTCGATGCGTAACCTTTGAAAGCTAGATCTCGGCTGGAGCGCCTTCATTTTTTGTGATACTCTACGCGTCGTCTCAGAGTTACTTTAGTTGCCTACCCGACTATTGTCACCGATTTCACTGGACGCTCTCCTGAGGGTGCCATGTTTTAATGGAGGAAAAACAATTATATTCACATTTTAAGCAAAATAATAATCGCGCAGTACTCTAATATTGCTCGTTTATTTCTGAATTTCACAATTTTCTATGTGTTCATCAGTGGCTTGCGAATCGTCGGCGATTGCTGATTGCCTGCGACGGATACATTTTATTAATCAAGCAAATGCTGTAATACACAAATGTTTCCCTTCTCAACAGACGGAACCGAGCTTTTCATCGAGGCGGAATCAATTCGATGTACTTATTCTAAAAGGACCTATCTTGCACGCAAACCCAATATGCACATAGTTCCTTTCAGCACAGATACGTTCAATTTTCAGAAAACCAACGATGGTTGGTCGTAAAGAACGAGTTGCTTTGAAAACCTATGAAAGGCTTTATACTGCCGTGCTGAGGGGAAAAAACGCCGTATGAACTTTCGAGAATTGCCAAGTTTCCTCAGATAAAGTGTTTATTTTTGAAGGAAGTTGTGCATATTTTTCCTTGAGATTTATAGTCATTTTAGATAAATTTTGAATAAAATTATCTGTAACATTTTAAGAAAAATATTCACATCTCCTCTCGTAAAGTCGTTTTTTATCAAAGGAACTTTGGCAGCGCCTGAAGGTTCATACTGCGTTCTTCCTTAGCGCGGCAGTATAAACGTCCTCCCCCAGAGACGAGATACCGCTGATTAGCCGAGAAAAGTAATCAAGAAACAAGTACGAACTCTCCTTGATGCTGGTGGCGAAAGATGGGATGCGCACACTAACTACACGTGCACAGAGCTGCCGGACGGTCTGGTCGTTTCGGCACCGAAGAAACGTCGGGGGAAATCTCCTTTTTTCGAAGGAGCCGGCAACGATGTGGAAATTTGAATACAATATGATTAAAGTCTTACGCTTGACAATGAACTCGAACGCATCGGACGGACGGGTGAGCGCGGATTGCATCTCCCGTCCACTCCCTGATTGGAAAATGCCGGGATTCATGAGTGACGTCATAGGTGGTTGGACATACTGCCTTGTGAAGGAAAAACGCCGTATGAGCATTCGAATGTTGCCAAATTTCCTCGCAGAAAGTATTAATTTTTTAAGAAAGTTATACGTATTTTTTCTTGAAATTTTCAGACTTTTCAGATCAAATTACGAACGAAACACTCTGTAGAGCAAGAAGAGAAATGTCTTCAATTTTTTCTGAAAATTTGTGATTTTTCAAAGGGAATTTGGCACCACCTGATGGCTCTTACTGCGTTCTTCCTCAGGATGGCGGCATAGCCATTCGTCTAGAGGATTGCAATTACGTTCGGATGATTTTAATGAACGCACACTGGGAAAAAAACACATTGGATCTAGAGTCCAGACTCTTAAAAACATCGACAAGAAAAAATACCCTTGATTCAGTCGGATTTTTGCTTAAATCAAGAATCAAGCCTCTTAATTTGAGCGGATTTCCTTTTGATTTAAGCAAAAATCTGATTGAATCAAGAGTATTTTTTCTTGTCAATGTTTTCAAAATTCTGGACTCTAGATCCAATGTGTTTTTTTTTTCCAGTGCAGATTGGGAGGAAGTCAGTTTTACCGGCGATTCTTGCAATTTCGCAACACTGGTCTTCGTCCAATCAAAAACATGCGAAATAATTGTGACAGTTTACACAATTTTGTAAATTTACGAAAGCCTCCGAGTGTTCAATATTTTGGGGAAAAAAAGACTCTTCAAATTTACGGACCCTCTTGTTACAGCCTCTTCAGATGCTCCTCATATATTTAAATAGTAAAGCTTTTGGGTTCTCTGACATGCTGTAAATTTCAACATAAATATTCTTCAAGAGCTAAAAACCGTTTGAAATATTATACCCACTATGATATGCAGTTTTACAGAGAATTCTTTCGTACATTAGCAATTAATTACTTTTTCTAAAATTGAAGCGTTGGGCGCAGATGCAGAAAAGGCATTTCTTAGTTGCAGTGTCTTAGGATATTCGTTAACGTTTCATCCATTTTAATGAAAGGAAATGCATGAAATTCGTATACATTTTACTGAATTTTTTTTTAATGATTAAACGAAAAATTTCAGAAAATTCACTCAATTATTTCCTCTCTAATATATGAATCAGTCGTGCGGATTCTGAAAAATCGCGACCAAGAAATGCCCTTTCCGCACCCCAACGCCTCTATTCCGAAAAGAATCCGAATTTCAATAATCTCTTCGCAAAAAAATAGTCGCTAATGATAACAAAACCTTCTGTTCACAGGGCTCCTGCACTTTCTCTGTTATACTCAAGAACGTTTCTGTTGTGAGAACGGAACTTCGGTCGTGAGCACAGAATACTCTGTCCTCACAACAGAAACTTCTGCAGCTGCAACAAAGAAAGTGCAAAGAGCCCTGGGAACAGAACTATTTTTTTCAGTGCAAGTAAGAATATTTAACTAATGGCCTATGCATTTTACAAAATGCTTAATTGTACTACTTGCCTGCGATAGATACAGGGTGATCCAGGGTTAAACGGCCAGACTGCAGGAGCGTGTTCTACGGGTCAAAATATGACTTTTTCATTGCATAAAGTTTTTTCCAAAAATTCTCCCATTCGGAGCTAAGCCCCTTTCCCCAAAATTTCGGAAAGTAAATAATTTCTCCTGAATGTTGGCAACGGCTGTGAACCAAATCTCATGAAAATTTGCACTTCCCTGTACTTTTATGCCCTGAATTCATAAATGATCGAAACAAAAATCGGAATTTCAATTTAGAGGGTTTGGGGGTGTTTCGGCTCCTGCAGTCTGGCCGTTTAACCCTGGATCACCCTGTATACACAGAGTGTTTACAAGACCGGAATTCCCGGTAAGTCCGGAAATAGTACGGATTTCTTAAGGGCGGTCCGGAAGTACTGAAAAAGTGCGGAAATTCTGCCAGAAGGTCCGGAATTTTTTTTTTTATTTGTTGTGATTTTTGTCGCAATTTGAGCGAGAAATTCAAATTTTTCGATTTTTTTTAATCGGAGGTACTGAAACAGTACTGAATTTTTACTGTTGAGGAGGTACTGAAAATCTTGGGAATGTACTGAAAAAGTAGTGTAAAAATATTGATTATTGGTCACCCTGTTTTAGTAGACACCCTGATACAAGATCCCCCCTATTCTTCCCCTTATTTCTTCTATTTTCATAATTTTAATAGTTTATCAAAAATATTGATTTTGTAATTCAATGAAATCTAGATTAGATTTAAAATATCGGTAAAAATGTACTTATTTCTAATTTCCAAGATTAGTATTTTATTTTAAATTATTTACTGATTGAAGTTATTAGCTTTTTTAGTTGTTTTTATAATGTTCGATCCACTTATTTTAATTTTACTTTTCATTTTAATAATATAATCAACCCCCTAATAGACCCTGATAATGATCCAAGGTTCTCTCCAATACTAACCCGGACGCTTTTCTCTGTGCCCAGGTTGAGATGCGGTAGCCCGGATGGCGATGGGTGAATTCCGGCGGACGCACTCCAAGGTCTGGTGGTCGCACTACCCCTCGGACGACGGCGACGACGAGGACGGGCCCTCCGGCTCGGCGGCGGGGCACCCGTGGGGCCCGGGGGCGGCCCCCTCGCCGCACTGGGGCCCCGGCCTCTCCCTGAGCGGCATCGGCGAGCGCCGCTTCTCCAGCAGCCCGAGCAGCGGCTCCCACAAGTCCCAGGACTCCGGCTTCTCCGACTCCGAGTCCAGCTCCCCCTCCGGCAGCACCCGCAGCACCAGCGGCACCAAGATCAACAAGAGCCCCCTCAAGGAGGAAGAAGACGAGGCGCGCGATGACGTCAGTGATGGGGTTCGAGATGACGTCAGCGATGGAGTCAGGGATGACGTCAGTGATGGAGTCAGGGATGATGTCAGTGATGGGGTTAGAGATGATGTCAGTGATGGAGTCAGGGATGACGTCAGTGATGGGAGCACGCCCGAGCCCAAGTTCGTGGACCCGATGCTCCTGCGCATCCCCCTCTCGAGGATACCCCGCGTTTGCCTCGCTCACAAGTCCAAGCCGGACCCCGAGGCTGAGTCCAAGATCGCCCCCAACGAGAATATCATACTCGATATCAAAGAGGAGGTAAGTGCATCGTTCATCTGCGATCGGTTTAATTAGAGAGGTCGGACATAAAATGTTTGGCTAAAACTACAGATTCTGATGTTTAATACGTCACATTTTAAATTTCAATGGGTGCTAACAAAAAAAAAAACTCGATTCACTACAATATTTTACCGTGAATTTGCAATATTTTTACATCATTCGGTCAACAAATGCCAATTTCAAGCAATCAATAAGATGAGTTCCACGGATCAGGGAGGTAGGTACTTTGCAATATAAAAGGAAAATTGCAACTTATTTCAATTTTGTTGCTATAAATTCCAACAATCGATGCCCCTTCAATTAGCCGATAGGCAACATACCTAGCACTCCGATGCAGTAGCAATAATTTTACCATGTAATCACTAATCAGAAGCTCTGGCACTCGAGCCAGTCGGGTGATTAAAATGCTCGTTGTGTAAACATTCGAATGCTGCCAAACTTCCCCTGATAAAGAAAGTCTTTTTGAAGTTAGTTATTGTTTTCCTTGAAATTTTCAGAGATTAATAATTGGACTGCATTTTGCAATTTGGACCTATAAATTCCGGCCCGGTTTAAAAACAACGTATGTGCCATTAGTTTCCCTATGCACATAAGTGTTTTTTCAGATGAGCCAGAATTTATAGGTCCAAATTGCAAAATGCAGTCCAATTATAAACAAAATGACCTGAAAATTTTGAAGAAAATATCCAAAATTTTAACATTAAATTCGATTTCTGTTGAAGGAAATACGACAACGTTTGAGACGTCAACGAGTCATAGACGTCATGACGCCGTTGACGTCACAGAGTCCGCGCCAACTAAGCTTAAGCATTTTTAGACTGCGACAGAAAATCGTCCGAGGACATTTTCGCATGGAAAGTAAATGCAAGAATCAAGGTCTCGGATCTTCTGTCGGAGTCTGAAAGTGGGTGAACTTGGTTGGCGCAGACTCTACAGCGTTTTTCCATCGAGCGTCAATATATCGTCACCCTCCGGCCAAAGTATCACAGGCACCATGCGACGTACAGTGAAACAAGCTAATAGAGGAGGCCTGACTTTTTTCTTGCTAAAATTTCAAATGATGCTGTTTTTTTATGTTTATTTTGTCACAAATTCAATTTCAAGGGGAGTTTCTGAAAGAAAATTTCAGGAAAAACCCATGAAACCACCCTTCAACTTTTTTGTTTCATATTTTCAAAAATATAAGCTTTCAAAGTTTTCAGATTTTGTATTGACTTCTCTTCGACGTTTGAAAATTTCCGCTGCAATTTTAATTTTCACAGAGAAATTGATGGTTGAATTTCTTTAAAAATTTTACCGAATTTTATCGGCAGCTCAAAAAAAATTCAGTGAAATTTTTAGACGGCTTCGTCGAAAAATTCTCTGTAAAAAATAACATGACGACGAAAATTTTTCAACGTCACATGGCGCTTGTGAGACTTTGGCCAGAAGAAGATGATAGGGTTTTTAAGTCTCCTCTCGTTTTCGCACAACGCAATTATACGCAATTTTGAGGATTTTCTTTTCTGATCGGCAGGTGAGCCAGGACGAGCTGACGCGTCGCTACAAGACGGAGCCGCGGAAATGCGAGCCGAGCTACCAGCGCCACTCGGTCTCCCTCGAGCTCCACAGCTCCCCGTTCCAGTTCCAGTTACCGCCCAAGTTCAACAGCATGGAGTGTCTCCTCAACGAGCAGAACCTCTTCTCCAGCACCAGGAACACCCCCCGGCGTCGCTCCAGCCTCACCGACGATTCGGACGCCTCGCCGCCGCCCTCCCCCAAACCCGTCCGCAAGTCCACCTGCAAGATCGTCGAAGAAATACCAAAGAAATCCTTCCTCCAGGCCCTCAACGCCTCCAGGCTCGACTCCAGCGAGAAGGAAAACATCCAACCCAACCTCAATAGCTCCGCGGAGAGTCGTATCCCAGACAAGAACTCCAATCTGAGTCGTCCCTTGGAAAAGAACTCCAAGAAAAGTCTTCCTATCGGAAAGAGTCTTAGAGAATGTAGACCTTGCGAGAAGAACTCTACTGAGAGCCATCCCAGCGATAGCTTTACGGAATGTAGACCTTGTGAGAAGAACTCTAATGAAAGCCATCCCAGCGATAGCTTCACGGAATGTAGACCTTGTGGAAAGAGCTCCAGTGAGAGTCATCCCAGCGAGGAAGAGTTCAGACCGTGCGAAGCGAACTCCAGCGAGAGTCATCCTTCTGGAAAAGAACGTCTTTCCTGCGAGAAGAATTCCCCCAGTGGAAAGAACTCCAGTGAAAGTCAGTCTTGCGAAACCCAAGAGGGTGAAGGTGGTGCTTGCGACAAGACCGCCTCGGCCGAGAAGGACCCCTGGGTGACCTCGCAAGTCGTGGAGAGCGGCTGGAAGGAGAGCTTCAGGGAGGAGATCCGAGAGAAGACCTCCAAGTACAAAGAAACCGTGTTCTGCGGGACGAGTGATAAGACTTCTAGTGATAACGAGCGGACGGGGCGCTACTCGAGCATCATCCAGATCACCGCGGAGCGGACGAGCGTCTGCGACCGGGTCACCGAGGGCTTGGAGCGGATCCCGGAGGAGAGCCCGACGTCGACGACGAGCGAGGAGACGGTGCGCTTCATCGGGAACATCGACCTCTCGAAGACGGAGGAGCGGGACGAGCGGAACGTGGCGACGGGCGAGGACAAGGACAAGACCTCGAAGAGCAACCTGTCGTGGTCGCCGATCAAGTCGGAGACGGAGGAGGTGGACGGGTCGCCGAACAAGACGGTGGTCTTCGGGGCGGCGAGCGAGCTCCCGGGGGCGCCCTCGCACACGTCGACGCCCAAGGGCGTCCCGGCGCCCAACCGGGCCCGGCGTGACCAGCGGCGGCTCAGCCGCAAGGGGCTCTTCCTCCAGCAGGAGACCAAGAGGTAAGCAGATCTCATTCCCGCTTGTTTTGGAGCCGGGTTGGAGGCCGGCAAGGTGACGACAGGATACCATAAAAAAAAAAAAAAAATTTAAAAAGCGAGTAACAAATAAGGCTAAAATTTCACCAACAAGACCGAAACGTTGCGGCTGAAAATTCAGCCATCCTCAGTTGGTTAAAATATAAAATTTAAGAAAACTCACTAGTCAGAGAAATTTAACAATCCTCAAATTTAACAAAATCAGTCTTGAGTCGCGTCTCTGATGATGACCTCACGGGTCGAAACGCGTCGGATTGTTAAATTTCTCTGACTTGTGAGTTCTCCTAAATTTTATATTTTAACCTTTGACCTTGTCTGGTACTTTTTTAAAACATTTAATCCTCAGTTGGATAAATAAAAAGAAAAATGTTAAAAAATCTACAATAGTACCTGCCTGTACCTTTCAAATCGAGAATGTTTGATTGTTAGAAAGTGAGCATTCTCGATTTGAAAAGTACAGGGAGGTACTATTTTAGATTTTTTAACATTTTTCTTCTTATTTGGACGTATTTCTATCAAACGAAACTATGTGCATTATGACGTGAGCCCTGTTACGCATGTATTCTGATGGATCTCAGGGCTCATGTCTTAATGCACATAGTTCCGTTTGATAGAAATACGTCCATTTATCCATCAACTAAGGATGGCTGAATTTTCAGTCGAAACGTTTTGGTCTTGTTTGTGAAATTTTAGCCTTGTTACCCGCTTTTTAAAATGTTTTTTATCGTATATCTTGCCACAGGCTGCGGATCATCTGTCATATCTCGTGACGACAGGATGGCAGATGTCAGGGAGAATCTGGAAGAGGCAAGGAATTTTGAAATAGCCGGGGTCAGGGAAAAGTCAGGGTAGCAAACAGGGCCGGATTTACCTACTTGCCGCCCATGGGCCGCCTGTATTTTGCCGCCCCTTCTCATTCGTTTTGAAACATCGATACAATCCATCAAGTGAACGTGCCAGAGGAGGAGGGGTGCATAAGACGCGTTTACTCGCGTTGGGCACATTTTTTGTGAAAACCCTGTCACCACTAGCAAAAGTTCACGGAACTTTGCGCGAAGAGTAAGTTCCGTAAACCTATCCCTGTGTGGACAAGGCCTTTCATTAATGAGAAAATAACGAAAAAATTATGAAAGAATAAACATGAATGTGGTTTAATGATTTTAATTTTGGCCACCGCGCCAACCGCGCTGTGTCTGGTGCAATGCGTGAAGTATCCCTACAGTCTTGTAGGCGCTATGCGTTTCACACGCCGACCGCTGCTGACCACACTATTTTTGACGCAATGCGTGAAGTATTCATGCAGTCTTGTCGGCACTAAGAGTTTCACGCCAACCGCTGCTGACCGCACTACGTTTGACGCAATGCGTGAAGTATTCGAAGAGTCTTGTAGGCGCTAATATGTATGGATGCAGCAGGGCAAGGCTCGATCATCTTTCCAAAAGTGGTCAATTTTTTCATTTTTTTTAAAAAAAAAGTAGGTCTTTTGGCTGGCAATGTAGACAGTTTTGACTTTCAAGCCCTCTTTCAGAAGATTTTTAACACTTGTGGTTGGATCTGAAAAATACTTAGGTATGAGCAAATTAAAAAATCTCCAAGAAAAATCAAAATCAGAACATTCTATGTTCATTTTAATCAAAAGAATTTTATTTAAATCTCATTCCATTCCGTTTTTACACTGATGTTCGTCGTCTCCTTAATAATTATCCATGAAAATTTCGAATGTATGTGAGCTTGACTTTATCCGAATAAAAAATTGTCATTTTATCTCAATTATAATAGGTAAAATCTAATATGTAAGCGCAATTCTCACCTTTTTTTTCTTTTTTCCCCATCAATCGAAGAGAGACACATGCAGGTTGTTTTAGTCTAATATTTTTCGAATTATGATCGTGCGTTTCTCTTATCCTCTTTACGTCTCTGCTCTGTTAGGTATTTGTTCCATCTCTCTAATCATCCTTTTTCTTTCAATTTGCAGCAATTGGGATTCCTCAGTAGCTCAGTGGCTCTTTGAACTAGGAACGAGGTATGAAGCTGAGTGCATGACCACTCTTCAACATAAATGCCTCACTACTGGTCACAGTCAAAAGGTTTCTGTAATTACCGCTGCGTCATCTCAATTTGTCCGAGACTTGCAACAACGGACAAAATGTATTGCTGCGGAATTCTCCAAGCTCTACAGGTTTGTTGTTTCAGGTTTTTTCACAACAGAACAATCACGTTCACCATAGGGATATTCTAACCACAGAAAATAAGGAAACTAGTAGACATTCCAGGTCATAAAATACTCAGAAGAGATAAATTTAAATCAAATAACTTAGATCTGTAGGTGAACAATTTTTTTTGAAAGAACGCTGGAGATATGGCAGTATACCCTTGAGTACTTTTCAGAGTAATTGTATTCTTTTTGTTCCTTTTAGCTTGCCGCTAAAAGTAACTCATGCTCGATTCGCTGAGAGGATAAAATGCTAAACTTTTTGATTTGTTTTTCAAAACAGGCATGCAGAGAGTGAATCAAAAGAACAGGTTGGACCATCAGTGCAAAGTCTTGTAGGACTTTTGGATGAATTTACGCAATACATTAGGAAAACAATGACGTCAGCATCTATTTTCAATTTTTCTTCAAGGGAGGAGAATGAACTATTACGGATATCAAAGGCTTGCAACCGCTTGAAAGCAACGACCAATGATATTCCGTTAAAATTTAGCTGTTTTTCTTCTGATCTGTCTCATGTCGGGAAATTATTCTCGCAATTTGTTGATTCTCTTCTTAAGTGCCAAATTAAGGTAAGTACAAAATTTATTCACTTTCTCTATCTTATATTGTTGTGCCGACGTACACTTTAAACTTAAGGATTCAATTAAGGCTAAATTTTCAGTGAAGTATGTTCAATTTAGAAGGCTCTAACTATTTTACAACGATTCATAACTGTTGGCATGTTTCAACTTTTTTTTATGTTCAATAATTGACGGTTGTTTCTAGCATGCATACAATTTTTATGGAAGCCTTGCTTAAAGAGATCAGTTCAAAACTCTCAAAGAGATATCTTCTCTCCACGATTAAGAGAGCAAAATTTGTGAAAACGGAAAATCTAGCTAAGGAGGGAGTGTCATGCGAAAAAAAAACATTAGTTCAATCCAGCATGCATTAAAAGTGCTTTTATTTCACAATGATTCTAGTCTCCAAAAGCATTGATTGTTGAATGAACTTTTAAAAAACTAGTAAACTTTAAAGAGATAACACTGAAAACTTTTATTGTGTTTGTTGCGGGATTTTTAATTAAAATTGAAGAAATATGAAAGTTAAGTTAAAGAACTTAAAATATCAATTTCAGTTTTCCTGAACTAATAAATATTTGAAGGAAGTGTTAAAAAAAACCCTTAAAAAAGAAATCATTTTTGTTTCATAGACTTATTTCAGTAGAGCACACGACAAGTTAATTTTTTTTAAAAAAATAGACAAGGAGGGTTTCCTAAAACGAACATTTAACAGTTTCTTTTGAGAGTTTTTGTAAATCGCTTTTTTAACGTCATTACTACTAGGGTGTATTTCAAAATGGTGTCCACTTTTTTATTTAGAGTATCATTTAAAATCCAAGAGAGAGGCTCATGTCCTAAATATTTTAATTCTATGTAAATATTAAGCTCCTAGTTGTAAGTGACAATTAAGTTACTGATATGTCTGCCTCTAAAATAGTACATTTGTTTTTCAGTCATTAATTCAAATTCTGGAAGAGCCCGCTTCAGATGTAACCCTTCTCTCTGCTTTATCTGGTTTGACTGGTATGGGTCTAGAAGCGACGCATTTGGCGTCTCTGGTGGCCCGATGTAATGGAGTCCGTGCCATTTTGGCGATCTGCCTTGACTCACGATGGACAACCGTCCGGATTGCAGCGCTCAGAACCCTAGCTACTGTCTGCTGCTCTGCCCAGAGTATAAGGCAGTTAGAGAAGGTAACCTTATCTAAAATTTAAATTAGAAGTACCGAAATATGCTTCAGTGAAGTGAATATTGTTGACAAAATTAGTGAAAACCAATTTGTGGAATGGAGGTCTCTATTTTCTATGCCATTAAAAGTGGCGATTGAAGTATGGAGTCAGTAACTGGCTTATGGTATTGTTAAAGAATTCATATATTCTAATACCTTTTCTATATGTCCTTATTTTTTAACTTAGGTACCGGTTTTGTTTTAAAAATTTGTGATAGTTATCATACTATGAAAGCTTCTTTAATCGAGAAAGGAACAAATAATTCAATTCTTAGCCTGGCTTATCTATTTTTATTTTTTTATTTTTTTTTTGGAGAGTCATGAAGCTTTAGTTTTACATGAAGTTTCTAGAATAGGTACATAAAATATCTGAATATCAGATTTCACACAGTAACATTTGCAGTGATAGATTGAAGAAATATTTTTATCAACGTTTATCCTTACTGTGATTGGCTGGAATTTTTTTCAGGCAAGAGGAGTTGAGGTATTGGCCGATTTACTCTCCGATGAGAAGAAGTCCGAAGCGGAACTTTCCGAAGCAGCATCGGTGCTTGCTCAGATTACAGCTCCTTGGATCGAGGACAATCACAAAGTGGAAGGCCTGCAGGATTTCATCAATATATTTGTAACTTCGCTCACCAGTAAGTTACTTAATTTACTATGTTCAGTAACAGTTGCAGCGTCCAACAGAGAAAAATCGAAGTGGAAGTCTGAATTGAATGTTAAGGAGCGTTTACGGATTTGACAATTTCGCAGACAGGGCAAAGTATATATAGTCAAGCAAGAGTCAGGGAAAGCCAGAGAATCAGAAAATTAAGAAATGAAGGGAAGCATTGAAACAATAACAAGGACCACACTGTTGGTGAAAGCTCCCGTTGAAAGTATGAAGAAAATGGCACAAAATACCGAGGAATGCAACCCCATCTAAATTTGTTCTTTTCCTTAATAATTTTTCTAAAGATTAAAGTCCTGAGACACCGGTCTTCATTTTCTAGCGAGGAGAAGAGACTTCTCCTTGATCACTGGTTCAAGGATGATACAATGTTCCTTCTAAAAAAATCGCTTGAAAGAGCTTAAAAATAATTACGGCTTCAGCCTAGATAGGTATGTAGGACTTGTATCTGCGAATTAAGATGTTCCACTTTTTATACCTGTAAAAAAATCTAGTGGAAATAAATCTGCGCCAATGCCTTTGAGTTATGTCAGAAATTTGATAATGCCTGTATACAACGAAGTCAAAAATTTCAAAAATACTAGGTTTCTTTCCCAAGATAATGTTTTTGAACTAAATAATACTTCACACGAAATAAATTTTTGTTAGCGTGACTCACTTAAACCGCCAACAACTCCAAGAAAAGTAAAAATTTGGTCAAAGCAATGAGATCTCTGCACTAAATTAAAAATTTTCATGAAAATAAGAACCTTTAAATTTTTTTAGTATGACTCACCTATTGTCATTTTTATCAGGGCTGGTGCAGAAAACCAAATCAAGCGAGACTCTCCTGTTGGCATCTGCAGCGCTGGCGAATCTGAGTTTCATGGAGCCCAAAGCGGTATACGCTCTGCTAGAAATGGGATCGGCAGGTTACTTACTAGCAGCCGTGCGGAAGCTCGGAGCGAGAGCTTCAGTCTTCTTGCAGGAGCAAGCAGCAACCATGATTGCAAATATGGCAGCTGTGGCGGAGACCAGGGAGCATTTGGCCAAGCACAGAGCAGTTGTCGCTCTCCTATGTTTCCTCCAAGTCCGACACTCGCCCCTCCAGAGATCATCCGAAATTGCTGCTGCTGAGAGGCTTCAACACAAATCTGCCATTGCTCTTTCAAGGTTGGTATTTCTTACAAATTCCACCTCTCCGATGTACCAATAATTGGACTGTGTTAAGCAGAATGGAACCAAGCCACATCAGCTATTGCCAAATTTAATTTTTTATGAAAAAACAATTGTGCGAGTTTTTGTGCAAATTTTAATGTATTTTCTGCATAGTGGGAAGCAAATTTCTTCAAATTTTTGAAGAAATCTGTACCAACGTTCTCTTGTAAAAAATTGAACTGCCCATTTTTTGGCAATAGCTGATGTTGCTTGATTCTTTTTTGCTCAAGGTGGTCCAATTGAAATAAGTTTTGATTTGATCGGTAGATCATCGCAATATTAATATCGATGGGAGTGTTTTTTTTGTCCTCACAGGATTTCTCCTGATATTAGGAACCCACGACAGGTTGATAACGAAAGTTGCAGGCCCTTTCCTTGTGTGGTTGAAGTTTTGTTAGGTTTGATCTTAGGTTGTTAGTTTGATCATAAACCTTCCCTCCTTCGAAAGACCAAAATGTTGACCATTTTACACTATTTCCATTTAAAATTAAAAATATGGCGATTGGAATCAGAAGTATCTCGATTGAACCATTCATTCAAGAAAACCTACATGTATAAATATACATGTACAGGTACTCAAAACCTTGTTTACCAGCCCATTTTTGGGTATTAAGATTTAAAATCTCGCAACATAGCTATTTGATTACTAAACATCGTGCTGAAGAATTCATTCTATTACGCTCCTCTATTACCATGCTAACGTAATGTCTCACATCTACTATGGAATCGCCACATGGGGCCGGAGTAATTCTACTAATCGTGTTCCCAAAGAAAACCTCGAAATCATTAGAATTATGCACAACAAGCGCTATGGAAGTGACTGTAAAAAACTAATGTCATCTGAGAGACTGTTTACAGTGACCTCTTTATACCTATGAATTCATTAAATATGCAGTTGAAGGAGAAATAATAAAGCCTACTGACCTGCTGCCCCTTCACAACAACAACAACAGACACTTCTTCGTCCCCAATTACTCAACTAAGTACAAAATTTCCGAAAACAGCTTTAAGTTTGCTTCTATTCAGCTGTTCAATGCTCTCCCCCTAAATATTAAACGACACTTTAAGAACTCTGAGATCAGCCAATTTTTCTCACTCTTGAAATCCTTTCTTTTAGCTGAAGCCTTTCAAGATCCCTCTGAATTTATCCCCTCTATTTAATTTATTTGCGCTTTCATATCAAAAGTGTCGATAGTTCACTGCATTTAGTCTCTCTGTTTCCTAATTTGCTACATTTGCTGTATCTTTTTCCACTTTATTAGAACTTCATAAATCTTGCGAGCCCTAGAAATGTCTGTGACTTTCTATGTGTCTATATAGTATTATAACAAAATATAGTGTTCTATGTCTGACTATTACAATAGCCCTTTTTGGTGGCTTTATCTGAGCTTTGTAAAATAAATAAATAAAAAATAAATTCTTCTCCACAGATTGTGCAGCGATCCAGAGGTTTCGCAGCAGGTTGTTGAGCTGCATGGTGTTGGTCGATTGGTCCGATTATGCAAAGAAAAACGAGAAAGAAATCACAGTGATGCTGTTCTTGTTGCTTGTCTTGTAAGTCGTTCGTTTCATTAGAACTCTGCTGAAGATTGCGCTAACCTAGATAGTGAAAGTTCCGATTAGATTCTCAAAGCAGAAAACCTCTACATTTTTATTTCAATAAAGATGAGCAATTTTCAACTCTGATACTCTCCTTCAAAAATAATTTATGAGAACTGAACTTTCTCTAAGACTTGGAAAAAAAGACTAGTTGCTCATGCATCTGAAAAATTAGTTTTTAACTTGTTTTTTTGACTGGGCGAAAGGGAATGATTCTTTTTCAAAATTAGATTTCTGAATAGAAATCAGCTTAAAAAGCCTCGGAGCTTAAATTCTCTATTTTTCAATTGAGCTCACCAGTGATAAAAGGAATTTATGCAAGCACTAAGTAATTAATTGTGTAATTTTTTTTCCCCCAGGCTGCTTTGAGGAAAATCACGAAGAACTGCGGAACAACTATCATGGAGGAAAATGACGTCTCTCAGCTTGTTGAGCCCAGGCTTTTGGACTCATTTTTGACATACTCATCCAAACAAGAAAGTTATGTGTAGGAATACAACCTACAAGCTATTTCGGAAGACAAAAACTATGCAATCGAAGCTGCAGCTTTGTAACCAGCAACAATGTCACCCCATTTTGTAATGTGAATCAATTTCAATCGATTTTTTTCTGACTGTGACGAGTTATCTGAGATAAGAAATGGAGAAAATTTGATTTTCTGAAGAGATAAAATCAAAGAAAAATTTCTAGATTCCATTTGGGAGAATAGATTTGCCAAGTAACACAAAAGAAAAAACTCGTCAGAATGAGATTTTGAGTTGTAAGAAAACATTGTTATGTGCTTTGCGTAGGGATGCTCTGTAAGTATACTATGTTGTTTTTATGAAAGAATAAATTGTTCAATACAGCCGTGCCAAGGAAAAACACCATACGAGCCTACAGGTGTTGCCAAATTTCCTTTGTAAACTACGAATTTACAGGGGAGCCTGTGTTTATTTTTCTCCCAATTTTTCATATAGTGTTCAATCCGCAATTTAATCTTCTGTGTAAATTTTAAGGAAAAATATTCATAAATTTCCCTGAAAATTGAAGTTTTCCAGGGGGAAATTTGGCAACATTCGGGTGTTCTTAAGGCGTTTTCCCTTAACATTGCTGAGTGGTACTGTAATTTATTGTGAAATAAGTCAAGCTAGTCAATTTCAATGAATGTTAAAATGTATTTTGTTACGACTTAATCTTACATTTAGGTGGGTAGGTAGTAACCAAGTAAGTTCGTAGAAAGCTTCCCGTCTACTACCCCTTGGAAGTACCTACAGTAATTGTACTTTACTATGTATGAAAAATTATTAAAGAAATATTTATTTCAATCTCTTCGATTCTCTCTTCTTCTCTTCTTCCCCTGGTCCAGCATGCTGGGGGTGCCCTGGCACTTTGCACCTATTTGTTTTTTGAACACTAAATTAATTAATTGTTTGTTTTATACCTATATTCCACTTAAAAACTTCTCCGGCCTTTTTTGAAAATATGATTTCCAGTAGGTACTAAAAAATGCTTTTAAATTGAGGAGCGTTCCGGAAAAGGGGCACATATGTGCCCTTTTTCCGGAAATGGCAGAAACGGATTCCTCGTATCCTAATGTACCAATGTCCCGAGTTTCAACTTAATTGATCAATTTTTGGAGCTAAGAGACCAAGTTTTGTGAGGCTAAGTCAGGCGTATTTCATCTATTTGCCCCTGGGTACGGTCGCCGCGACGCGACGTTGTGGAGATAGCGCGCAGGGCGCAGGCAGGCAGGCAGGTGATGGGTACTGATATAAGTAAGGATCCCTCACTACACATGCATCGCACTGATTCTACTAATGAATGCAATATCATCCGGTTGCAGTGAGTTGCTACGCGTTGCAACGGTGATACGTGAAATTTTGTAATTATTAATAATTCAAATTTTAATGGTCTCTTGTGGGTTTGAATTTTTCGACTTTTTCGCGTGTTTTGCTGTCTTTTTGATTAACGATGATCAAAAATGATCCACCCGCACGTTCGCGATTGAAATTATGATTTAGTTTCGTTTAGAAACTCTTTAAAGTCTTGAAAATTTAGCTTTGAAAGCCAAAACCTATTACCACCGGTCCATTTCCGGAAAAAGGGCACATAACGGAAAATTTTAAAAAATTCCTCCCACAACACGGAAAGAAGTGTAAGTTTTACCAATGGTCGTTATTCATTCTAGGGTGTATGAACGTTGATATGAGTGCCCCAGTTCCGATGTTTGTCATCATCAGTGCCCAGAAAGTAGGAATGAAAACTTCAAATGAGTTTTTCTCACAACTTGTTTTTCCGGTATGTGCCCTTTTTCCGGAAAGCTCCTCAATTTTGGTGCTGGTCAATTTTTCATTATGACAAAATGGTTCCATTTTTGAAACTGAAAAATGCAATTATCTGTAACTGGTTGGTCATAGAGCAGAATGGACAAAATTTTCGAGCTCTCCTGAATACTGCGATATAGTTTCTCTGAGACTGCGATATAGTTCCCCACAGACTCATGGGGTCACGGGCCCTCTACGCTCAATTTTAATTATCAAAAGTTAGGCACTAGTCCATTTTTCATCACGACGAAAATGGATCAACTTTAGTCAGGCCAACATATCCTTCCACCATCTCATTTTTAGAAGATTGAACCATGGTATTCCTATTGAAAATACCAGGAAAGGAGGGACTAAAAGTAGGTCTCTTCATCGGACACTCCTAGAATGGGATAAAGTGTTATCTTCTTGAACACAATTTTTTTTTTTTGAAAAATGTGGAAATGAAATGATAACAATTGAGACTATGAAAATTAAAAAAACAAATGAATCATTTATTGAAGAGTTAACACATATTGATACAAAATACTGGAGACATCGATTGGCCAATCATAATACTCGGACAGGATTATTTAAAAAAGAGGCAAGTATCCAATTTGGAGAAAGCTTTTAATTTAAAATGAGAAAAGAGCTGAAATCGAGTTTGACTGTCCACTGAAGGAAGGCCTTAGTGCTTAATAACTTAAAACTGAAACAATGGTACCACAGCATAGTTGAGTAATTTACTGACATTTTGCCACAGAAAAAATTTGCTGGTTTGAGCATCGCAGTGTTAAACAAGCAGTTTAGAGAAGCAACTCAATTTTTAGTTACCATACAGAGTATTACCATTTAGTTACCTTGCAGATGTAACGAGGGAGTCTGAATAAAAAATATAGAAGGCGTGCATATTAAAAATGATTCGGCGAAATGAGAAAGTAAAATTTTAAATACCTAGTTATACAAATTTACTTTACTTGGAGGCAAATACGAGAAGAAATCTTCAATCTTTGAGAAGAAAATAAGAAAAATTAGGCCATTCTACCCGCTGATGGACATTGTTTCTTGTAATGTCAGTTTGAAACTGAGCACACACAAGATCCTTTCAATTCTGAGCAATTGTTCTCAACTGCATTTTTCAACATAGGAAGTATGGCCAAAAAGGTCAATTGAAAATAATTTTGAGTTCCAACTTTGAAATGCTGTCATACACACTTGCTTTGCCAATGATTCATTCAAGTTTTTTTTCTTTTAATCTCTGAGATAAAAATTTTATCTAACAAAAAAAAAACGCACGAGAAAAACCTAGGAAAAGAAGAACTTTGGACAATTAAATGGCATGAAAGTGGAAAAAAAACTTGAAATCCTCAAGGAAAACTCTGCTAATAGAGAATAAAAATCAAGGAAGTTTTAAAAAACTTATGTTGACAAGTTTTCCAAGGAAAAATTAAGTATGACAGGAAGTCTAAAACATCGCACATCGGCGTACATGGTTTCGCACTTTAACCATCAATTTAGGAGTGCTTTGGGTGCTATTCAAGCTAACTTGATACTGCACCAATGGTTATTTGGTTAAAAAAGTACCTCCATTGTCAACGAGATGAACACAATTTTTTAACAGTCACTTCAATCTAAATCATACCCACAGATTCTGAGTTCTTAATATTAATATAAACACTTAATTGTACTCCATTTCCTTTGACATCTTGTGAAATTAGTTCATACAAATTATTTTAACAAATATGTGATTTAGAAGGTATAGAGATAACAGGGATCGACCAGCAAGATTAATACAAATTTTAAGTCTGAGGAAACAATGCACCAGAGAGAAGAAATTGATTATTTGGCAGTGAAAAATGCTAAAAAAGTATAATTTGTTCGGAACAACTTTGGAACGGATTTTGAATCTTGTGTCAGGAATGATCAGAGCTATCCAAGTTGCTTGATTTTAAAATTTCATTTTATGAATGTAGGAAAACTAGCTTATTCTGCCTTGAAAAGTACTTGAACATCCTTTTTTTTTTTTTTTTTTTTTTTGCATTTTCAAGTCCTTAAATTCCATTCTAGGATTTGGCCCCACTGTACCTTGACGGAACTAATAATGCAATTCATTCACGCCAATCGCGCAACATTGAGCTGCAATGCAAGCGCAGCATTTTGGAACCGCATCCGTCGGACTTGCAGTGCGCAGTTAGTCAGTCGAGTAAAGCATGCCAAGCCATCTCCAATAAGAATGTAATTCAACAATAAATTTCATAATCTTGATCCGTGATCCACTTTTCACTCGATATTTTCAAAACATCCTCGACAGGTTATGAGGCCCAGAATCGCGACACAGTGCGTTCTAGAAATTCATTCGTGTTAGAAGTTCGATCCAAAAGTGCCGAGAGCAAACAAGTGCGTAATCATGAGTTGGTTCGGATCTAATAATGAAATTACAATTACCAACGATCTAGACCTTCACGATATGATACACTATGTATTAATTTTTGGTCTAATGCTAATAATTATCCTCTTTTATATGGCGAACAAGTGCAAAAAAATGAGAGGGGACATCGAAGCAGTGCGGAACGCTTCGCGACTACACGCATAGCGAGGTCAAATTTTCGTGAAGTGAGTTCCACGAAAAACATTTTTTTTTCGTGAAGCAACCCGCGTAAACATTTTTTGCGGAGTGAAGCCGCAATAAACATTTTTTTTCTTTTCGCGAAGCAACCCGCGTAAACATTTTTTGCGAAGTGAAGCCGCAATAAACATTTCCTCGCTCTCTCGCTTTCTCTCTTTTGCGAAGTGAATCCGCAATAAACATGTTTTGGCTCTCTCGCTTTCTCTCTTTTGCGAGGTGAATCCGCAATAAACATTTTCTCGCTCTCTCGCTTTCTCTCTCTTGCGAAGTGAATCCGCAATAAATTCGATGTCGTACGAGGCAAGCACCAACGCACGTCTAATAGAGATCCGCGACGTGGAGACACTGAAGGATGCCAGCACAAATCCCCTATGGAAGTTCCAAATGAAGATTGCATTCCGAGCAATGGGAATTCTTGATGTAGTGGATCGTTTTTGAAAGTTCATGAATTTTACGTCATCCAGTGTTTTCGTGTCTTTTATGTATTATTTTGGCATTCAATTATAGTGTTTGAAAATCATCAATCAAAATAATTTTCTAAACTCATCAAAAGAGCTGTACTGATTTTGAGAAAATTTTTCTGCTCTCAATTCAACTGTGGTGTAAATGTACTATTTTTAGAAAAAACTCTTTAAGTCTCAATTCTGCATTCGGATAAGATGTCAAACCCTCGTTCTCTCTAACAAGTTTCTCTCTTTACGCATATTTACTTACTTTTCTTGCAATAATATATCTCAGTAAATTTTTTTCTTTTTTTCTCAGTGCATTTTGTGTTTTTGAAAAAATCTCTGTTTTTTTTAGCTTTGTTTTTTTGTGTATTATCGGTAATAAATCAGTCTTTTATGACTTAGTGTGCTTCCCCATAAGTGCCTTAACTCCTCATAGTGAAGTTTTTTAAAGAACAGTGCAATTCCATTGCTCAGTAACCCTCATTAGTGAAGTGTAGTGACAAGAAAGTCTTTCCAATATGGCGACTATTCCAGCTCCGGAATTAATCCCTCATACACAGTCTTCTAATTCGAGTTCAAACTCAGTATCTCAAGGATCTCAAGGAAACCTCTTTTACAACCAAGACTGCAGTGCCCCTTTCATAGTTCATATTACAAAAAATGATACTTCAAGCAACTCGGTCTCCAATATACATCCTATGCAAATAAGCAGAATCTTGAAGAACCAACAAACAAAGGGCATAATCCTAGTTACTAAGGTTAACAGGAATACCGTAAAAGTTACATTGGATTCATGGATAGAAACCAACAGCTTTGTAGCAAATTTTCAAGCTCAAAACTCTACATTCAGGTGCTATATTCCTGAGTACATATTACTCACGAAAGGTGTCATCAAAGACATTCCGATAGACTTCTCGGAGGAGGAACAATACAATACTATAGAATCCTCACTCCAAATCTATAATATCAAACGCATGTTCAAATTTGATAGAGAGAGGAACGAAAGAATTCCTATTCCAATGATAACTGCAACATTCATAGGAAGCACAGTCCCTGACTATGTAATGTTTGACTATTATAAAGCAGACGTCAGATTATACATCAAACCAATTACTCAGTGCAATAACTGCCTGAAATATGGCCACTTCAGCAAATTTTTCAGAGGCAAAATGGCCTGCAGGCAATGCGGAGTCGCTGCCCACCCTGGACCGTGTAAGCAAGACTCCAAACCAACATGCATTAACTGTAAACAGGCACACCTCCCAACTGGCCCAAATTGCCCAGAAAGAAAGACGCAAAGGAAAATAAACAGTATAGTTGCAGAAAAGAACATCAGCGCGTAAGAAGCAAGGCAAGTAGCTAATTCTTATTGCGACAACTACAAATTTGGAGAAAAGAAGAAATTTGGTAACTTCCCGGCAATTTCCAGTGCCCAGACTACACCACATACCAAAACAAACAACAAGTTGACCGTCTTAGAAATTAATCACATTCCTCCACATCAAAAAACATCCGAAAAGGAATTGCCAAAACCTGCCAAAAAGGAGTCGGCCATGGTTTCAGGAAGTTAATGGAATCTTACTCAACCGAAACTTGCCGACTAGATGAGTTTTGGATCAATACTGTATTCAAGAAAAATACAGAACATTTTGGTGAATCAATCAAACTTGTAAAAATTGTGTGCGTACTTTCACATGAAAATGCTTGGTTAGAAAGAGGTTTTTCTGCCAACAAAAAGATATTAGTTCGGAACTTAAAAGAAACTTCTTTGATTGCTCAGTGGTTTGTGTGCGACTATGTCAAAGATTTGGATCTAAAAACTTTTAAAGTGGATTCCAAATGTCTTGGTTTTATTTGGTGCTCAAGGTCACTGTACGAAAAGACTCTGAAATCTCACCAGTTGGAAAGTCAGAATGAGAATGATGCTAAAAAAAAGAGAAAACTTCTCAAGGGAGAGATTGATGAGCTGGAAGCAAAGAGGAAAAAATGTGATGAGGATTATTGCGATAAAAACGATGAAATTTCAGGTTACAGGTACAGGTAATGTACAGAAAATGAGACAATAATACAAAAAACTTGTTAGTTCCAAGATTTCTGCAAAAACCAATGAGTTATTTCAATACATTACTGTTTAAAGGAAACTGCGTCCAAATTTTTCACTCCTACAGGAATTCATGTGTGGAGCCAAGTGGCTTCAATTTCAGTTATCTACTTCCTTTTTTCAGTTATGAATCAGTATTTCTGCAATGTTCATGTCATCATTATCTTGTCTCCATCTTTTTTCAGGCTCGCTGAATGGATTCAAAGGACCAAGCGCCATGATTTACTTCAAAAAGATCTGTTGTATCTATACTCGAATGTGAAGGTCTGCTCAAAACATTTTGAACAATGTATGTTAAGGGACTTACATACAGTTAGAAGACAGCTCAAACTGGATGCAGTTCCGACATTGCATTTAAATATACTGCCTGAACCATCGAATGTTCCTGTACAACTGCAGGAGAACAGCAAAGTAGGTGCCAGTGCTCATGTGTCATCTTGTAGAAGTCCACAAGGTAATATTCTTGAACAACGGAATTGTTTTAAAAGACAGTGCAATGAGAGCCAATTTATTATTGGTAGCTCTTCATCAAAAGACAAAGCAACACCTAATAAGCAAATCAAGATTATCCAGACATCCATTGATAAGGAGAAGAAGTCACCAAATAAGCTTAAAACATCTAAGAAAAAGTTAGCATTCCATGCCATCCCTCCAGATGAAAGCTCTCCGTCAAAAAGAATAAAGATCCCACAGACACAGAACACAGAACACAGACACAGAAGTTCCAGTCCCAGAAAATAAGACTGTAGGTCATTCATTTCTACCTCGTAGTAATCTTCTAGGACACACACCTAATATTCTTCAAAAGCAGAGCCATTCATTGAGATTATCAGAGTCCCTTCCTACATCCGTCCTTTTCAATGATGCTGACTTGTTTTCAAGTAATTTGTCATCATCTGATGTCTTTCCACAAAACTCTACACAGATTAGTACCCCTAGACTATCCGACGCAGGCAGTAGCTCTCTCCTCAGCGATGACATTGGATTGCTTCTTGCGACACCCAATAATAGCAATTTTTCCCGAATATGCACAACTAACGAAAGCTTAATAGAGACCAGTACTTCAGTCAAAACCTATCAAGAACGCGCTACTCAAACCGATCAATTTTTGTCATCAAAAATCCCTAGAAAACAAGCACTTGAAGATTTAAACTATGACTTACAAATGACGACCTCTCCTTTCGTTAAAACTTTGGCCCTGCAGAAGTTTACCTTGGACTATGCGTATTCTCTTCTTTGTAATTTGAAATAAGCTTATCAAAAACTGCGCGAAAACCGTTTGGTGAAGGCAGAGATAATGCAACGAGACCTGTAGAAATCATAGTTAGTGACGTAGGAGGTCCAGTCACACCAAAAACAAATGACCAGAAGGCTTATTACGTTTCTTTCCGTTGTGACTACACCGGTTATGTGGAAGTTTAACTACTTAGCGCCAAAAGTGAAGTTTTCTCAGTGATGCGTGAATATATCGCACAAGCAGAAGCAAAATGGGGTACTGAAGTTCATAAGTTTAGGTGTGACAATGGAGGCGAGTACTCGTCAAACGAACCAAAAGATTGGGGTAAAGACATCATTTTAGACTACACGCCTAGTTACACGCCCCAATTAAATTCAAAATCGGAAAGGCTAAATTGAAGTCTACTTGATAAAGCAATAGCTTCACTTATAACATCTGGAGTTAACAAAGAACTTGGATACCTAAAAAAACTTGACGACAGATGCGAAAAAAAGGTCTTAGTTGGCCTTGCACCTATTGAGTATAGCTATGGGATCCAGTGAAACGCAAAATAATAATCTCTCGGGACATCAAATTTAAAGAAGACGAACTCGAAAATAAAAGAAATAAACGTGAAGATAAGCTTGCCACTATTGGCAACATCGAAGAAAACGTTCCACAAATCGACCAAAACAACACTCAGAAATATCAAGTTAGCTCAAGGCGAAAACCTCACAAAGAATGCTGAACATGCAGAAGATGACACCGGAGCGACCGCAGAAGAAGAGGATAATGAACTAGACCCTGACCTAGCATATCTTTTCGATTCGAGTATGAGTACGCAGAAAAAACAATGATCCAAGGCCCCAACTGGCTACCCGGTGATAGTGACCTCCACGCCGAAGAAACCATTGAAATCACAGATGAAGATGATGACACAGACCATAGGTATCCAGATCGACCCAGGCAAGCTCCAAAATTTTACCAGTGCTCGATGCTCACGCTGGGACAAGATGACACCGAACCATTGACCTACTGTCAAGCACTGAAATCAGATGAAGCAGAACAGTGGAAAGCAGCCATGGTAAGAGAGTATGAATCCTTACTTAAAAACAAAACTTGGATCTTAGTAGAACGACCAAAAAATCAAAATATCATTACATGTAAATGGGTGTATAAAAAGAAAAAAGACGAAAATGGCAATACCGTGAGATATAAGAGTAGACTATGTGCCAAAGGTTTTTCTCAAAAATGGGGCATTGATTATCATGAAACATTTTCGCCAGTAGTTGGATACTGCGTAATGCAATTCCTCTTGGCGTTAGCAGTGACTTTAAAACTAAATATACATCATTATGATGCAACCTGTGCTCTTTTAAACAAAAAATTATCCGAGCGAATTTACATGGAGCAGCCGCAAGGTACCGTGAGTAAAGGTAACGAAAGCAAAGTTTGTTTGCTACAGAAATCTCTTTATGGACTGCGCCAGGCGTCAAGAAAATGGTACAATTTAATTAACCAAATATTATTAACCCTAGGCTTTAAGAGATCAGTACTGCAAGCTTGTGTTTACTTTAAGATATCAAATAATTCAATTTTAATCATAGCGTTATTTGTTGATGACTTTTTAGTTTTCTGGAACAAAAATGAACAACTAGAACAGCTAAAAAGAGATTTGAAAGGCAAATTTGACTTGGTTGACTTAGGCCCTGTGCAACAGTTCCTGGGCATACAGATAAAGCATGATAGCGCAAAAGGCACTTTAAGTCGTAATCAGAAAGCTTACATCTTAGATCTTTTAAAAAAATACAATATGACGGACTGTAACCCTATAGGCACACCATAACAAGTTCGTCCATTAAAAGTAATACCAACCGAAGAGTTGCAAGTAGCTAAGGACGTCCCATATCAAAACCTAATTGGGGGATTCATGTATCTTGTTGTTTGTACTCGGCCTGATATTGCTTATGCAGTAAGCTACCTCAGTCAGTTTAATAGAAAACCCACACAAAACCATTGGAAATTAGCAAAATGAGTACTTCGATATCTAAAATATACCATAGATAAATGAATCATTTATAAGTTCAAGCCAGGGATACCTAAGCTACTAGCATACTCCGACGCTGACTATGCAAACGACGTAATTGATAGAAAATCATACAGTGGATATGGGTTTTTTATGGCTGGAGGACCCAAAGCATGGGAGAGTAAAAAAATGGCTACTGTTTGCCAATTGAGTTGTAAAAGTGAATATTTGGCACTCAATTCCGCAGCAAAAATGGCATGTTTTCTACAGAATTTTCATAATGAACTTTTCCTAAACCTAAAATGTGAAATCATACTAAATAGTAAATTAGAGACGACTGTTTTCACAGACAGTCAATCCGCAAAAACCTTAGCGGAAAATCCGATATTTCACCCAAAAACAAAACATATAGAAGTGAAATACCATTTTATTAGGAAAAAAGTACTAGAAGGAAAATTCATTTTAAAACATGTTTCTACCACTAATATAATAGCCGATGTGCTTACAAAAGCCCTGCCTAAGCCTAGCCATAAGAAACACACTGATATGATGTTACATTAACTTATTTGACATTATGATATCCAAGTGGTGGGTCTCATACTTGCTAAAACCACTACAGCAACTATATTGTTTTTAATGACCTTATCTCTATTTAATAATCATATAAAAAGTGAGTGAAAGAAAGTTTTAGATTTTAAATAACTTTTTCCTTTTTTCATAGCGTCCAATTTTCAAAAAACAGATTCCAAAGAAAAGTAGTCATGCGTCTCAAGGTTAATTTCTTTCCTCATTCAAAGAATTTCAAAGTGACTCGAGAGAAGAAAGAAAAACAATTTCTTTTCTGTGTGTTACAAATTTTTCATGATGTATGTCTAACCTGTTTATTCCTTTCAGAAGAAAGATATAACCAACAATATTTGTAAACAGTCTTAAGTCAAATGTACAAGAGACCTAGGAAATTTTAGACGCCTCGTAAGGGCAATAACAAGGAAGTAGAGAGATACACGCCTCGTAAGGGCATGATGCAACGAGTCAGAAAATTCATGACACAAAAATTTCACCTCTTCAAAACAGACAGTTTTTCCTACCAATTGTTTACACAAATAATCGTTTCAAAATTGAGGTGGTGTATTGTGAAACATCAACAGTAAGTGGAATTTGGAACGTCTCTTCGAATTCCCGCATCTCTTAAGAAATCAAAACATGTAACTGGTCTCTCACCTTGGATGTAAAACGGAATAAAACTACTCACTCTTCTTGCAGAAATCGTCGCGTATATGTCTCATTGATCCCCATACCCACTATATCATAATACTGAATGTATTGAAACATTATCCAGGGATTCCAAAGACCCTTGTCAATTAGATTATGAGATCCACCAACGCATGGCTAAACAGCACCAGGCGCTGAAGAAAGTCTTCATTGAGCGTGCGAAAAGTGACCAATCCTACTTAGTATGTGAATTCGACTATTCGCAAAATTTTCCCATTCTATAACTAAACGTGAACAGTTAGTTTTATAAACGAATGCTCTGGCTTTTTGCATTTAATATTCACATTTATGATGTCGACGACGATGCATATTTTCACTACTGCATGGAATGCATGGGTTCGAAAGATGGGAATTCGGTTGCATCCTACTTATTTGAGTGTATCTGTCAGCAAATTAAAGAAAAGCCACACATAAAAACCCTAGTTTTTATATCATTATTTCTGTCAATGCGATATGAATTTTGGGTTCATTCGACAGTACCTGGAAATAAGCCTGTCATTGGAACTGCTGCCCTTTATTTGGAGGCAATAGCATGCACGAGGAAGAATCCATCACCATTTCATGTGGAGTAATGTGCTGGTTACACGCTCACATTTCCATCAATATCCGATCAAATGTTGCACACCATCTACCATCAAATTTCTGCGGCCTGCAAACATTTGATCGTAGATGATGGAGCTGTGGGGCTCATCCTTCATCTGATTTCCACACAACCATGCTTATTTCATGCTTATTTCAATCAACAGGCTGTTTTACTTAATTTTACTCATCAATCTAGATAACTCTCGACCGCCATCTTGGTCATCATTTTGATCGGAATTTGACGGAAATTTGATCGTGTAACCAGGCCATTAGACCCTAACTTATTACTAGATTGGGAGTCTGCTTTGACACCATTTTTCCTGACAACGCCTGAGTCTTTTGACAAGGAAATAGAGTTCAGTATAATGCAATATAAAGTCATTAGATACACTAGTGCTGGAGACATTGAGTGTTCAAAAAATTACTCTCCGGAGATTTCAATAGGCGCGAGTCATGGACAAAGCATCTTTAAGAGATATTATTCCAGACCCGGTTCCACAAACTGGATTCTCAGCGCCTAAGAAAGCAGATGTCCGCGAATTGATGGTTCATCTACCACCTTCAGACAGAGACTGGATTGAGGGACTATTCTGAATCCAGCACACTTACAATAATTAGCAGATGCAGATTCTGTAAGCAGGTATGTAGCTCCTCAATATTTGCACCATATTTTTGAGTAAAGTCCCAGTTACATCAAAAATCAACACTCCCGCTCCTGTTTCAATTATTTTTACACACAAACATGCTGCACAGACTCACGTGAAATTTTCAATACTTTTACTTTTGATTAAGTACTCATAACAATTTGTAAAAAATGTGAGTCTTTGCAACGGTAAATTAAAAAAAGAGAAAAGAAACGTATGATCAGAAATTTTGCAACTTTGCTATGTACATAGTTTCTTTCTCCTGAACTCGTGACTGTTCCTTACTCATGAGATTTGGAAAAAAGAATATACAAGCTACCTATTCCATGAGAACTAATATGAAAATTCAAAGATGGGATGGGACGTAGTTCTTCATGAGACTCCCAATGAGGATAATATTCTGGAATTTTTGTACATATTTTATGGTAAAATTTATGAAATAAAAATAATTAAAATGCACATTTGGAAATGTTGCATCATAGAGCAATGGTTTTTTAGTCTTTAGAAGAAGATTTCGCATTAATAGATGCTTCAAAACTTTCTTTTCTTTTCTCTCATTAACCATGCTGAGCAAATGCCGACGCAATATATTATAGGAGTTTACGCAATTATAGGAGGTCTAATTAAAACAGAAGCTAGTCACAGATATATTTTTTAATTTTGTATTCTGCCATTTTTGCGTACTGGAAGTGCTTTCACTTGTTGCGTACTGCAAGTGCTTTTTTGTGCATTTCCGAATTACCATCCAACTCAAAAGTGAAAGTTACTAAAATTCCTCTGGAAAGCCAACAAAGTTTAGTACCCTAAACCAAAGAAACCTCTCCTCATGCACAATATAACAACTCAGTACCTCCATAATCCTAGTCCATTGGACAAAAATGGGGTTGCGTATTCAATAGGACAAGCGTTCTCTCAACAGGAAAGAAAATCTGAAAAACAAGCATTGACCGTCAATGAAGTGACAGAAGTTGAAATCCTTAGTACAAGTGATAGTGAGGGTGAGAGCAGTAGCTCGACCTCAAGTGAAAGTGGTAGCTTGACCTCAAGTGAAAGCTGTAGCTCAACCTCAAGTGAAAGCGGTAGGTCGACCTCAAGTGAGAGCCGTAGCTCCTTTCAAAACGGCACCAATACTCGCAACAGCAGCTTCGAACAGGGTACTCTGCCTACTAAGAATTCAGAAAATCAACCAAACCAGTCGAAGCCTTGAAACTGGTTAATACACCTACCACAAGTAAGATGATCTACACATCTCCCAAGAAGAAAAATGAGGTTAAGTCGCACCACAACAACGTTACATTTAATGAAAATTGACTATCAAAAGATGACTGCAATTGCTGCAAAACCAAACTGGATGCTCTGTCAACAAAAGTTGCTGAACTGGAGCAAGCTTTGAGGCACCTCACAAGGACTGAGGGAAAGAACAAGTCTACTGATGCAGCACTTTTCACCGAACCTAGTGAAGGCGAACAAACCTTGAACGATCTCACAGAAATTGAAGGAGGTAATAACTCTTTGATAAATGTTTCTCTGCCTAGTCATACTAAAGTACCCACTAGCATAAGTGAACTAAATAAAGTTTCAGGGATACTAACCCACTCAATCCCTAGAGATTCTACCTTGTTCAATGATGATCCTCTTGAGAAAAGAAAAGAACAACAGACACTGACTACAATGGCGCTGGACTCTAAGGCTTGACTTTTGGCTGTTTTTTTCTCACTCCATCAGTAGAAAGGCATCAGTTGTCTCATTTTCATTGAAGTTTAGTAATGAACAGTGAAAAGAAAAAGATTTTACAATTTTTTCCTGTTACCTAACAGAAGAAAGCACATATCTTACTTTTTGTTCTTTTTACTCACTCCTTGTCTTGAGATTATTTTTCCTATGCTTCTGTAGTGAAGTATGAAGGTATCAGAGAAGCCCCTCCCCACACCTTTCCCACCAAAAAGTGTGTGCCAACAGAGTGTGTGTGCATTATCAGTGAGCGACATTAAAAACTGGTTAATATCTGCTCATTCTATAATAACTCTGTTTTAATTTTAAAAAGGCATCCTCGCTCACTTTAGATAGAATGTACTATTGTGTCCTTATTATTTTATTTTCTTGTTACGATCAATCTGAATGCAAATATCAAGCCAGAAACTACATAGGGCCCAAATTGTGGAAATTTGGAGTCATCACAAAGGTTTTAGGTCGTTTACATTACCATGTACATTTGGATGCTGAATACAATATTAAACTCCATTTTGATCAGATTGGTTCTTATCAAGTTGAGATGGAAGAATCCGGGATATCACTCAGCAATATGCGCATGCTTTGATATTAATTTTCAATTAATCTGATCATTACCTGACACAAATTGCTCTAAGAATTATGTGGCTGAGCTAGCAAGTTGTAAAATATCAATCCAAAATTGATTTATTTGACAAAAAAAATTAATTTCCAAGATTCAAATCATTCCGAGAGGAGGTGAATTCCAAGGAGTCTTTCCTAATCTTCACGGAAGACATGATAACAAGTGCATTATCCGACAAACCTGAGAATATTTTAAAAAAAATACTTGAAATCGAGATCATAGGCCATCGCTCCTGGCATCCATTAAGTCCTTCTGGGCGAAAAAATTGCTGATGATGCAAATGAAGAGATTCAAAGCGGCTAATTTCTTATCATCTAAATTGTTCTGCAAGCAAAAGTAAAATCGAGAGATTAATTTCTTGTAATCAACTGATGATTGTTAAAACAACTGTAAGAGACTGATGGTAGTTATAGACTAAGGGAGAAAATAATTGACTAACCATGAAGTCTCTCGTCGGTTGCCATTCATTAGTCCATTACTTGCTAACTTAATATTGCAACCACTCGCTTTAATCACCAAAAGGATCGCTACATTTTCCCTGTCCTCATTTGTCTGACAATTTCAATTATCAGTCTGCTCTTGCTTTAAGTCAGTTAATATTGGTTTATATAGCCTCAATAATACTAAGTAATAAAAATCAAGCACTTTTCAGGCACTTTCTGCAGAATTTTCAAGTAATTGAAACTCGGAGCATAGAACTTCTTCTAGAACTTTCTAGAACTCAGAGGCTCTTCTTGGTTGCAGTGTCTCAGAATGTCCGCTCAAATTTCATTAATTATGATCAAAGTAAATGTGTGTAATGCGTTGAAACTTTCATTGAATGATCTTCACAATTTTACAATGCGTAAAATGAAAGTTCTGGAAAATTCATCCAAAAGTTTCTTCTTTGTAATATTAAGTAGCAGTGGGGATTCAGTAACACCAGAACCACGTAATGCCTTTTGGCACCCAATAGCTCAATTATTGCTAACTTTTCCGTGATTTTTCCTCAATTCAGTTTTCTCCTTGTAGTACAATTCGGGATTTTTTGGTTTAATTTAAAGGCTGGTAGATAGCAATATCTTTCGTAAATAGGATGTCTAAAAATTCCAACAATAAATGTCTACTTATTACTTAAAACAGTAAAAATTTCGACGGTGTAAGTCGGCATTCACATAACTCGGTTTACGACGTTGCAGACTTCCTGTCATACTTTATTTTTTAAACGGAAAACTACTCAACGGCAATTCTTTAAAACTGCCCTGATTTTTCTTCTCTGTGCGAAGAAAATTCTGCAAAAACTTCAAGGAATGATGTCAATTTGTTCTCCTTTAAAAAAATAACACAGAGGCGGAGATTTTCAGATACTGCAAACGAGTTGTGTGATTGCCGACATACACCGTCGATTTACCGTTGACAATGGTTAAATGTTTCTGAGAGGGAACTCCCAATAGAGTGGCCGAAAAAAATTCGAATCAGCCTTCATTGAGAATAAAATTGAAAAAGTATCCTGTAAAAGACAGATTACCACAAACACAGCAAACTTTCATTACATATTGAATCAATAAAAGAATTGCATGCTTTGAATTTTGGTAGAAACTTTCCAATGTGACAATTATTATAATTTACTCAACAGACATGTTTCAGGCTGGCAGTTTGTCATTGGTACGACTCAAAAATGGCTTGAATTGCACAAATGATGAGCTGCCAACATGAAATGCATATGCAACAAAAATTAAAGTTATTGTCACAAGTGAGTTTTAGGTTTTTTCAACCTCCGTTTGATTTAAGAAGAAACAATTTCATCTATTCGTTTTCTTATAGGTTTAGACGGACAACCGAGCATTCACTAACAAACTTCACTCGGTTATCATACACATTTCAATTTTTGTCACAGGTGCTAATCCAATTTAATCAAACTCATCAGGACGGTCAGTACTAGCCATCAGACATATATTAAGAGAGAGAAGGGAAGGGTGATTCATAAAATTTGTATAAAAATCCGCGCAAATATCCGTCAATGATTAAGTAATCAGTTACTTGAAAAACACAATTACGTGAGGGAAGTAAAACAGGTAAATGCAAATTGTTACCTCTTGAACGCGCGTAAAGGCGCAATGCCGTGCTAGAGTGCGAAGATTGAAGACAATACTAGAATCCAGTGGCATTTCCATACACACAAAGACACTGTACAGCAGGGGTCCTACCTCCCAAATATCAATTAATTTCTGTTCTATCCATTCATTGACATAAATGATAAGATTCTCACATCGAACCTGTTGATGAAACATTGCCAAAATTCAATTAATAATAATTGTTTCTGTTGATAAAATCATCCCACAAGTAAGAAAGTAAAAAATGGAGGAGAGACAAGGCATGAATTTTAGTACTAAGCATCATGTTTCCTCCTCAAAATTTCACGAGGAATACGAATCACAGGACAGGAAGTCTGGAAGTCAATGCTTAAACACGATTTGAGTGTTTACAATGGACCACTAGACAAGGTACAAATTTAAGCAATCTGATACATGTTTCTTAATTAGAATTTCACGTAGAACACGATTCACGCAACGGGAATTACTGAAACCAACTTCTAACAAAGATATTAACGTTTTTATTTCACAATGGCTACAAGGAATTCGAACTGCCCGCTCACAAGAAACTCAAAGCTCTACGCGAGTCAAAACAAGCACTACAACGGTTTCTGCAAGCCTCTCAATCGAGCAATGTTCATTTTCCACCATGTGTTGTTCAAACTATAAGCAATTTGCTACAGCTGAGCCAAAGCATCAAGACTGAGGTTGCCAGATTTTTACATCGCAGAGACTGTCATGATAACGTTTAGCGCGCGATGTGAATCACGTAGAGCATTGAGTTTTAATGAGCAGGTGGTTTGAATTCACGCATCAAGAATCATCAAATATCTTCGTAAGGAGTTAATTTCGGTAATTTTCTATATGCGCATTGTGTTCTACGTGAAATTTTAGTTACGAAACATGTATCAGAATGCTGAAATTCGTACCTTGTCTAGTGGTCTATTGACACTGGTCAAATGGCAAAAATACAAATGACGCCATTAGTATAATGTGACTTTCATTTGATCTATGTTCAAAATACTTATTGATATCTCGTTTAGAAGTTAATTTCCAAACTCCCTGTTGTGTGATAGTTTTCTACATTATATTTTGAAGAGACAAAAGTGATGTGAAGTTTGGACCTTGTCTAGTGGTCCCTTTCTAGCTGGTGAAACTACAAAGCTCAAGCTAAAATTTGCAGTTACAAATTTAAAGCAAATACATTGTCCACTTGGGACAGATTAAGGTAACTGATTACATGCCGTTAAGCCTCGGCTTGTGGCGCTACACAACAAAAATTTTTGCATTCAGCCACAGATTAAAGGTGCTGTCAGATATGGAGGATTTTTAATTGTATGTGGACTGTCTCTTGAAAGAAGGAACTTTTCTACACCAACTTGTGGAGCAGAAATGAAAATTGGCCATTCCCGGAAAGTTTTTCAGAAAATAATTGAGTAAAATTAAATATTATAGATGCATCAATCAAAGTGACGCAAAAATTCTGCACAATATTCGACTTGGTTTTGCCAATGGGTCTGTTGCACGCAAGAGATGCAGCCAATTGAATGTACTTTCTAAGTATAAAGTGGCTCAAAAATCACGTTATATACATCAAAAAGGTCTGAAATCCACTCCTTAGCTCACAATCTGCGTAGTTTGAAACCTCCTTTTTCAAATTTATGGGGTATGGGGGCGGTTTTTTCTTGGTGGGCGACAGTCAGGTTTGCCCAGAGAGAGACTTAACCTGAACAAAGAAACAATTTCGCCAACTGTTAGAAACTCTCCTTGCGTAAGATTTCAATTGATTCAAAGCTATTGTTCTTGCAAAATTAAGAGAGAAAAAAGAAACAAACGCTTGAAATTGATTGAAATTGTACAATAGAAAAAGGTGGACTCGTTTGTTTATTTACGTTAGTTTTTCTTATTCCTCTGCCTATACAAACCTGCTCAGCGGTGACTGAGAAAAACTGCTTACAGACCCGGGAAACTTGAAAAAGCAAGTTACTAACCACACAGCTTGCGTGCTACGGAATGGATTTCAGACTTTTTTGACAAGCCCACCGTGATTTTTGTGCCATTTTACCTGTAAAAAATTTAATCATTTGGCTGGATCTCTTGCGTGCAACAAAATTATTGTAGATTAGATCTGCTGGAAGTCCTTATAATTTGCTGTTTTGTTAAAAAAAATTGCTTGTTTTGCTTGGGTTCAGCTTATCATATTTTTTCTCATTCGTCTATTATTGGCATTTCTTTGTCTTCTAGAGAAAATTGATACTTTTTAATCCGTCAATTTCCGATGTCCAAGTTCTGACGTCCAATTAAAGCGAAAATTAGTTCCTTAGGTTTTCTAGTCTCATTTTGATCTATAATCATGGTCACTTTTTTTTAATATGTAGTGTTTTAATATCTGGGTTACATTTGCCAGATCTGCTTGATGTGATACTGCACTTGGTAATCTGGCAGTCATGATTCTTATTATTTATCAAAGAAAAAAAAATATCCGGAGGAAAATGTGGGATTGTGGCCAGTCTCACCAGAACAGATACCAGTCTCAACTCAGCAACGGTGGCTTATTGGTAAACTTACTGCCGCAAAGCATATGCAGAGGCTGTTCATGCCAGAGATTATGAAGCTCTGGGTCTTGACGGTAATGACTCATACTTTTTATAAATAAATTAACAAAAGTTAGGGCGCCAGATATACCATGGAGAACAAGTGAAAATGGGGTTTTGCATCTGGGTGGTTATGTAGAGACTCGAAAGACCATCCTTCAAGTCTATCTGGACAACAAGAGGGACATTTGCATTGTTTAATATGATCTTGCCTTATGGCAAAAATTTTTTGAAAACTGATGGTAATATTCACTAAGAGGTGAAGTTTGTGACTAGGGACTAAGTCACATCTGCTATGAACTGAAGAGGTTGGTATCTTTTCATGTAATGCAGTGTAATCTTAAAGCTGATATCTGGAATCTCGCTTATCTTCAGAGTTGATCTCTCCTCCCCTCCTACAGAGAACATCGTTTGACAAGTGCAAAAATGAGGGGATTCGATAATTACAATCTTTCTCAAAAATTCTTTAATTCTTAAATTCAAAGAACTACAACTGGAGGGAAATCCCCCCCCCCTATTTTTGGTACATTATAGTCCTAAATGCACCCTGATGGGAGGAAGTAATATATCCTTGTTACAAAATCAATTCATGAACAAGCTAGGGGGTCATAGATGACTTTTTCAGATTTCTCTTATGATGTTACAAAATTGTGAGTCCCTAATGACTCATTCAGTTCAAAATTTGACGGCTTGATTCCTACAGAAATTTTTCCCTCTCATATCCCTTGTGGATTTCTTCCTAGAAACAGGGGTGTGAGACCCGTCAGATTGTATGCATTTGGAGCAAAAGTTGAGAATTAAATACTCACTTGATCAAAAGATAACATAAGCTTCAGAGACGGGACAATTTTCTGCTCTAAAACTAAGGCTTTCCACTTCTTTTCCCTCTCTGCTTTGGGCTGAAACAAAACATTGGTCCAAAATTAGTGATCATGCCAACTTCTAATTATTAACATAATGGGCCAGTTGCAAACTTTTGCCAGAGAAAAATAAGAGTTGTTCCATGTAGATAATGTCTCAAAAATTACTATGAGCGCATCAGCAAACTCTGAGAAGCACTCCTAACTTCACAATCTGTGAGAGAAATTTGCGTTTTTTTAAGATTCCCACTTCAAAAAGGATACTACATACAGCACAGGTGAACATTTCCTTAGAGTCTTTCCATTTAATCCCTGCTCAACATACCCGACGCTTTGGCATGCAAGTTGAGGTGAGCAAGAGGTCAATCAAGGCGGATATCTATCAACACGAGAAAAATGTGAATGTAAACACGCTGATTGTTTCAGGTGGTTAGAATCATGGGTGCCACACACGGGAGGGATGAGGCGCCCAAAAGTGAGGCTCTGCTGCGCGCGCACGTCGCATGTTTGGATTGTAATTTCGCGGCAGATTCGAACCCAAGGGGCGAGTTCCATAATACATTCTTCTCAAATGCACAGTATTAAAGTAAAAAAAGTCCAGAGTTTTAATCACGATTACTTTAATTAAATTTAACCTCTCGTAAATCCATACGTAAAAAGGGTTTCCTTCTCCGTAAATTTTAACAGTTTTATAGTGAGTTTAGTGATTAAAATTTACAATTTTTAGGAGATTTTTTAAAGTTCTTACTACAAGGGAATGTCTTGGCGAAGATTCTTTACTTTAACTCGCTTGCTCTTGACTTTCACATGGATGAAGCTAGCAGAACTTTTCGTGGAAGGGAGGGGGAGGATACGCTCCCAGGTCGCTCCCTCAAAAAAAGAAGAAAAACCGCAACAATGATGCTGTGGGATGTTTCTTTTGGGGGGGGGGGGGAGCCTCTCGAGAAGGACTGGGCAGTGGGCTCCTCTGATGCCAGCTTTGCTCTCTCTCTCTGATATTTTGGTACCCTGCTACGAAATTTCTTTTCCATTTTACTGTTAGCCTTTCATCCTTACTGCTACACGAATTGTTAATTTGAGAGAATAAGATTGAAGGAAATTCATTTGTGAGCTGTCTGGAAAAGAGAATTGGACGTATTTATGCTACAAGGAAATATGTGCAAATGAGTGAAAGCAAAAAGATTTTTCAAAAGAAATTCAAAAGAAAAGCAAAATTCAAAATGTAATAATTCATACAAATTACGAATTCAACAAATATTGCCATTAATACTTTAATCATCACTTAATCAGAATACTGCTTCTTGAGCACACTGATGGCCTAAGTCCAAAAACATGCATTTTGGATTCAAGACGTTAGTCATTTTCCAACATGTTTATTTTTTCTAAGGAGAAATGATCCCAGTTTTCTCTTTTAATTTCCGTTGATTTCTCTTCAAGACAGAAAGAATATCCTGTAAAAATTTCAGACGTTTTTCTGCAAAGATACTCAGGAGACACATACATTTATTAAACTTAGTAATTGAGGTAGGTACCTATGTGTTTCTAAATGTAGGTACGCTATAGCAATAGACTTATGCCTATAATCATAATTATAGCGGGTGCAGGTACCTATTGCTTTTATCGAGGAAATATTGTTTGAGATTTTTGAAGCTTAAGGATTTAGAAAAGAGACGAGAAAGTGCTAAAGTAAAATTGAACGTATTTATGCTGAGAAGAATTATGCGAAAATAAATCGAATCAAGAGGATCTATGTGCATAGGGCTCACAAGCTACACTAATCTTTTTGCTTTCACTCATTTGCACATATTTCCTTGTAGCATAAATACGTCCAATTCTCTTTTCCAGACAGCTCACAAATGAATTTCCTTCAATCTTATTCTCTCAAATTAACAATTCGTGTAGCAGTAAGGATGAAAGGCTAACAGTAAAATGGAAAAGAAATTTCGTAGCAGGGTACCAAAATATCAGAGAGAGAGAGCAAAGCTGGCATCAGAGGAGCCCACTGCCCAGTCCTTCTCGAGAGGCTCCCCCCCCCCCACAAAAGAAACATCCCACAGCATCATTGTTGCGGTTTTTCTTCTTTTTTTGAGGGAGCGACCTGGGAGCGTATCCTCCCCCTCCCTTCCACGAAAAGTTCTGCTAGCTTCATCCATGTGAAAGTCAAGAGCAAGCGAGTTAAAGTAAAGAATCTTCGCCAAGACATTCCCTTGTAGTAAGAACTTTAAAAAATCTCCTAAAAATTGTAAATTTTAATCACTAAACTCACTATAAAACTGTTAAAATTTACGGAGAAGGAAACCCTTTTTACGTATGGATTTACGAGAGGTTAAATTTAATTAAAGTAATCGTGATTAAAACTCTGGACTTTTTTTACTTTAATACTGTGCATTTGAGAAGAATGTATTATGGAACTCGCCCCTTAGGTTCGAATCTGCCGCGAAATTACAATCCAAACATGCGACGTGCGCGCGCAGCAGAGCCTCACTTTTGGGCGCCTCATCCCTCCCGTGTGTGGCACCCTTAGAATCATCGTCCCAAATGTGTTTTGGCGGATTGGCATCGGCTATGTTGAATATTACGTAGAATCCACATGAGCAGGGGTTGGATGGAATGACTCCTTTGAAGAAATGTTCACCTGTGATGTGATACCGTTTTTTAAGCTAGAAGCTTGAAAAAACGCAAATTTCTTATTTTAATTGTGAAGTAAGGAGTGCATTTCAGATTTTGCCAATGCGCTCATCGTGATTTTTGAGACACTTTCTATGAGTAACAACTTTGATTTTTGCGCTAGCAGAATTTTGCCCACTGTAAAAAGAGACAAAAAATAGGAGGAGGTTCATAGTCATTCCATGCCAAATCAAACCAAAATTTGACCCGACCTTTCCAGAATTTGATGAAATTTGGTACACTCTCTCAACTCATTGAGTTGATTCCAAGAATTTGATTTTTTAATTTTTTTGTCCATTAGTTGAACTTTTATCAAACTTTAAAGTTCGAGTAAAATAACGGAGGTTATCCCCTTCAATTGCCTGTGTTTTCGGGAGCCGTTTATTCGATTTGAACCGTTTTGGTGCCGATTAAAACCTCTTAAAACGGTCTTTTCACATATGCACACCAAATTTGAATTCAACTTCAACATTTTTTTAATAGCAATTTTAAAGTGTAAAATTGAGCTATCTCGAAAAGGGGCGCATAGAATCCTACGATTTTTTTGCCAGAGATTGGTCACATCTGTATGTACACACTTGCCAAAAATCAAAGTGGAGACTTGGTGGAGTCAAAAGATATGACCGAAAAAGCAGCGTTTTTTTCCGGTGCGATAGCGCGACGGGTGACGAGAGCGGCTCCGAGCCGCGGCGTTCCGAGAATCTCGATCTTGCCGGTTGAGTGAGAGAGAAACAAAGGCGATACGCCGCAAACTCCCGCGTTGCCAGTTCATCCACTGTTATTTGATATTTCGCTCACTTGAAAGCGGAAACAGACAACATTACGGTGGCTTGGTTTCCATGTCTCTGCAAAGAAAATGCTCTGTTCTGACGTTGCCGTGGCATTGAATATAATATGTACTTTTGAAAATGTTTACCTATCCTTTCTTAAATTTCATTGCAAGAATTCAATCCAATTTTTATTTAATTTGAACTCATCCAAAATTGTCTACGCTTTCATGCAATTTTTCATGCAATCCTCTAATTCCAAATTTCCCGTTAATGAAATTCTAAGACTCTCATTGTGTCCATCTAGTGACGGCTTGCAATCTTATAAAAACTCTTAACTCATTTTCAATTAAAATGAATAAAAGGAAATCATTTACCTCTTACTGCTGTAACCCTTTGAAGAAGGAGGGTCACTATCACATCAAAAAATCTTTGCGGCGAGTTTCAGAGTGGATGGTAACCGTCAGAGAACTGCCCTCCGATGCGAAAATTTGCGCAGAATGCCGATGGGCGCTACAAAAAATTCGGTTGGAAAAACAGCATGCAGAGATTCCTCAGAGCTCATCAATGAGACCACCCCTCCCTGAACCCGAAATATGCATCGCCTCCGATTAATCGACAGAGGATCCTTCCTTCGAAAGCACATCAATTTCGATCGAGGCCTTAAACCTATCACTTGCATCGCTCGGTGAATCACCCGTTAAGAAAAAAAGATTGACTGTCACAAAATATGCCACGACAAAAGTGAAACAGATAAACCACGTTCTAAAATCAGGAATTTTTCGATTTGCCAATGCCACTGAAAATGAGCTGATGGAACACTTCAAAAAAATGTTTAATGGATTTGAGACTTGGAACCAAAAACTCACGTTTTTGACAACACTCCCGCCCACTTGGACACGGCGAAAAGTAATGGAGGAATTTAATGTACCCAGTTACATAGTCCCGCAGTCGCAGCAGCTTTTGGCTAAGAAAGGACCCTTATCAACAGCAGATCAGAGGTCGGGCCGTTCTTAACCATCGGAAAGTATAGCTCTGGTAAAGCCTTTTACAACAGCGATGAAGTGGGCCGGTTAATGCCAGGTAAAAAAGATTGCGTGAAAATTCGAGATGAAACAGGTGCCAAATTATGTGTCCAGAAACGGTTGATGCTGATAAATCTTCGAGAAATGCACGAGCTCTTTAAAACAGAGAACGAAAACATCAAAATTGGTTTCTCCAAATTCGCAGAGCTGCGGCCCAAAAACTGTATTTTGGCGGGGCCGAAAGGCACGCATAGCGTGTGTGTCTGTTTGATTCATCAAAATGTTAAATTAATGATTGAAAACTCCAGCTTGGCCTCACTCACGAACGGCACTATAAAAAATTACAAGGATTGCCTTCAGCTCATCATGTGCGAAACGCCAAATGAAAACTGTCACATGGAAAAATGCAAACAATGCCCTGGAATCAGCAAAGTAGAGACAATTTTGGAGGAAGCTTTTGAAGAACACTTTGTTGAGCATGTGACTTTCAGGAAGTGGGTTACGGTGGATAGGTGCAATCTAGAACTAACAACACTATCTGCGGAGGCCTTTATGGAATTATTCAGCGAAAAATTACTCGATTTGCGAGTTCATCATTTCAGTGCGCAGCAACAAAGCTCATTCCTCAAGAACAAGAAAAATTCGCTCCAAGACGGTGAGGTTATTGCCCTAGGAGATTTCGCGGAGAACTATACTTTTGTAATCCAGGATGAAGCTCAAAGTTATCATTGGGCCGCCACCCAATCAACGATACACCCTTTCCTTGCATATTACAAGGACAGTGAAACCCAAGAGCTGAAGTATCTCAGTTTCGTGATTATTTCTGAGAGTTTAGAGCATGATACTGTCGCTGTTCACGTTTTTCAAAAGCGATTGATAGAGTTTTTAAAGGCTCAGTTAAAAACGATAAAAAAAGTTGTTTATTTTTCGGATGGCTGCGCCGCACAGTATAGAAATAGAAAATTTTTTATCAATTTAACATATCATGAAAAGGATTTCCAAGTGTCGGCAGAATGGCATTTTTTTGCAACGTCACATGGCAAAGGGCCCTGCAACGGGCTAGACGGTACTGTCAAAAGATTAGCAGCCAAGGCAAGCCTGCAACGGCCTTATGCTGATCAAATACTAACGCCTCGCGTCTTGTATGATTGGGCCAGAGAAGCTATCGAGCGCATTCATTTCGAATATGTCACAAAAGAAGATCACATTGAAGAGGAGGATTTTTTGAGAGAGCGTTTCTTGACAGCATTACTAATTACAGGAACGTGCAAGTTTCATTCCTACATTCCGTCCAGTAATGAGGGTAAACTGCTGGTAAAATTTTATTCGTCTTCCCAGGATGCCGAAGAACGAACTATTGAGCGGAGGTGTCAACTCTAACATTCAGTGAAATGTCTGGTTATGTCGTCGTTGTGTATGAAGAGGAATGGTGGATTGGTTATGTCCTGGAAAAAAATGAGGAAGAAGGCATCGTTTTCCTTTCTTTCCTGCATCCGCACGGACCTTCATCTTCATCTAAGTACCCGCCGCCGGCGGATCCTCTATGGATTGCATCGTGTGATATTCTTTGCAAAGTGAATCCAACAATACCCACGGGGAGGGTTTACAACCTCCCTGCGGATGACGTCACGAAGGCAGTGAAAGCATTCGATGATTATCGGGCGGAGCTGTGAAGAGTTGAAGGCATGACCATCGCGATCTGGAGTGTGCAGAGTGTGTGATCAACAGGGCGCGTCAGTATCGGCAATACCGCAATGCAGTCCCCCACGCCTCGACGGATTCTCGGAACGCCGCTCTCGTCACCCGTCGCGCTATCGCACCGGAAAAAAACGCTGCTTTTTCGGTCATATCTTTTGACTCCACCAAGTCTCCACTTTGATTTTTGGCAAGTGTGTACATACAGATGTGACCAATCTCTGGCAAAAAAATCGTAGGATTCTATGCGCCCCTTTTCGAGATAGCTCAATTTTACACCTTAAAATTGCTATTAAAAAAAATGTTGAAGTTGAATTCAAATTTGGTGTGCATATGTGAAAAGACCGTTTTAAGAGGTTTTAATCGGCACCAAAACGGTTCAAATCGAATAAACGGCTCCGAAAATACAGGCAATTGAAGGGGATAACCTCCGTTATTTTACTCGAACTTTAAAGTTCGATAAAAGTTCAACTAATGGACAAAAAAATTAAAAAATCAAATTCTTGGAATCAACTCAATGAGTTGAGAGAGTGTACCAAATTTCATCAAATTCTGGAGAGGTCGAGTCAAATTTTGGTTTGATTTGGCATGGAATGAGAAATTATCTGTGTGCAAAACTTATTATTCTAAAAAAATTTTGCATCTATTACCTACCCCCAATTTCACTCTATACAACAAAATCTACTCGATTTCTAAACAGAGAAATATTTCCTTTTTCTACAATGAAGTAAAATTAAGAAATTCCTTCATTTTGTACTGCAAAATGCTCTTTCACATTCAAGACCCCACAGGCTAAAAGGCTTACCAGGTTAACTAACTCCAAGTCATTGATTCCATCTTCCGACAATTTAGCTTTGATTGATTCTACTTGCGACTTTAAAGCTAAAAAATTTTCCATCTGGTGAGACTGCCAAGCTTTGGTTGGTTTGAGATCATCTCTGGCAGGAGGTGCCTCTGGAATCTGTCCACAAAAAGGAAATTATAAATACAATTCTTTCAGGTAGGAGGAAGAAAACTAAAGGAAAAAAATAATAAAACGATGAGCATTATTTAGACTGGTACAATGGGCCAGTTGCGCTAGTAACAGAATCATGTTTTGGTTCTTGATTTTTGTAGATAAGCCATAAATAAGCAGATCTGTCAGAACAGCAACTTTATACGCTGAACATCAACCAAGATATCGTCCTTTGAAAAGTCGGGTTTTTGACGTCATCCACCGCGGTAATGCATAACATTGTATGTACATGTAATGTACCGCGGTGGATGACGTCATAAATCGAGTTTTTCAAGGCGAGATATCTCAGTTAATATCCAATGTAGAAAGTTGCTGTTTGGACAATTCTTATTATTTTTTTTTTGTTGATGTACAAGATTACAGCACCAAAAGACAATTCTGTGACTAGCGCAACTGTCCCATTAAGTGGTATGATTAACTCGATTGCATCAAATTGATTGGAAACCTTCAAGGTATTCATTAAAAGTAGGAGAACAGATTTAAAGTTTGGTCATGAGAATCTCAGTGTTTGAATTCAAGATGTTTGTAAGAACAGAGATAGCACCCCTTTCTCACCCTCATCATGATTTCATGGTCAGAAACTAAATATTATTTTCCCTTCTAAAGAATTTAGTAGTTTACTGAAAGTATTTCTTCCTCTACATTTTCATACAAATATTCAATTCTTCATCACCTACTGGACCAAACATCCAAATCAAGAACTTTGATTATGATATTAGGACAGAAAAATTTCACACGAAAAAATAAAACGGTAAAAATTTATAAGCAGTGACAGAGATTTCTTAAATGATACACAACAACTGGCTCAGCAACTGGCAATTTATATTCTTGACACTTTCAGTGGAAATGGAAAAACTACATGGAAACGTGGAACTTCAAGTTAAACAATTTCCTTGCAGAAATCCGTTTAAAAAAACAAAAAGCAATAGCTGTAGATTCGTTAGAAATTGCAGGACATTCACTAAAAGTTGGAAAAATAGCACATTCTATCTCTATTCTTGATTCATCAAAAGAAAAGAAACTGACTTGCAGTATTTCAAAATGAAGTAACATGGCTATAGTTCTGGAAGAATCAAAACTGATTATTCTTGACGAAAATCAAATACTATATAGAAAGCTGCTGAGTCATCGTAAATCTCATAATTAACCCGTGGCGGAATTGTGAAAAATTTTGAAGATTTTTCATCTCTGCATCACAAATCTTGTCCTTGTGTAACATCAAAAATAAAAATGAAAAATTCATAACCCTGTTAAGGACTCAAGTTATCAATGAGATGAATCTCATACAGTTGTTACCTACCAGCTAAAAGAGCCAACTTTCATCACCCCTTTTCTTCTCCAAGTCTCCTAAGTAGCCCAAATTCAACTAACATAATGGGCCACTATTTTTTACTCTGTGTACCTACTACTTTTTCATTCTGTTTTTCATCACTACAGGAGAAAAGTGATTGGTACGTTTAATTGAACTTTATACTGATCTTCATGATCACTTAGTTGAGGATTTACTTTCTCAATACCTGACTTCTGAAAATAAAATAAATAATTGTGCTTAATCCTCATTTCAGCCCTGTATGAGGTAAAGAAAGTAAAAAGTACTTACAAAATTCCAGTAACCATAATTAGAATTAGAATTTTGTTTTTTCAATTTGGACCGATCAATATTAGCCACAACGACATCACGATATTTGGATGCTTCCAACCTATTCGAAGAGAAAATAAAATAAAAGCATTGAGTTTTCAAACGTGATACAGGAGCACACTTCATACAGTCTAAGAATAAAGGCAGAAACAAGGGTTTACTGCTAAGCAACACATTCAACAACTTTCATAGAATGCATTGCAAGGCTAGAAGCATAATTAAAATATTTCATCTGTAGCCAGTATTACTTGCCATCTCATTATAGGGATTCCTCTTCATATCTTATATGTACTGTGAATTTTGTTTGACCCAAAATAAACGAACAACCTTCAATTTTTAGCCTCAAGACGCTTAAGGTGATTTGATGGACGCCATATTTTGTGTCAGAACGGCATGCGATATATCACATCAAATGGTTCCATTTTTTCAGATACTCGTCATTTTTCTCGAATTATGAGATTGCAATTCTGTTGTCAGGAGACTAAAGCACTCACTTACCAATTTTTACAAAGAAATTCAACGTAACAAAGGCGTGGTTTTTTTAGAGGAAAAATATCGCATTCGATACTGATATCAAAACTGCACTCGAATGCGATATTTTTCCTCTAAAAAAACCACGCCTTTATTACATTGAATTTCTCTGTAAAAATTGGTGAGTACTTTAGTCTCCTGACAACAGAATTGCGATCTCAAAATTCGAGAAAAATTATTAGTAGCTGAAAAAGTGGAGCCAATCGATGCGCTATATCGCACATCGTTCTGACACAAAATATGGCGTCCATCAAATCACCTTAACAAACAGCTTTGTAATTAGGGCTGAGAATATTTAATTGAATATTTTTAATCAATTAAATGTAAATGTTTCGGGCATGAATTAGCAAAAAGCAAAATAGCAAAATTAAAAGTACCTAAAAGTACCGTGTAAAAAAATTCAGGAACGGCAGCAATATTCAATGATGATGATTCAAGTCCAATAAAAATCCAACATTTTGTAGTAAAGATTGCTGTAAAGAACATTTCAATGGAGTAGTTTCCTGTTTGTACCTCATTTGTCTTGGAAAATAAATAAAACAAAGAGATATGTTTCAGACAAGAATAAAATTTTTCTCCATCCATCATTCCGCTGATAAAAATGACTGTGAGGAGTTAATTTTAATTTTATAGCACATTCAAGATATATCTCGTTCAAGGGAATGCTTTCTTTGATTAGATCCGCTCAGCTGAGGAACTTTCGGTCATTTGAAGGTATTCTTTATCATTCACAGTTATGGCACCAAAAAAAATTTTGAGTTACTTTATTAAAGCTCAATGAATACCGCAGAAGCACCATCATTACATACCTCAGCTGCAATGGCGTTCAAACAAACATACTGACAGGGCCCGATTCTTTGCTACCAAAAAGAACGACTGGATATCGACAGTGAAACTACCAGACCACATATCTTGCTTGCAGAGTTTAAAAACTACGCTCCCATTTTATTTTTTTGGAGGAGGACAGATCAATATCATTTCTCGACATTTTCACAGAGTTTTCTTTGCACAGAGAAGAAAATACACCTAAGTTTCAAATTGTTGACATCTAGTGGTTTTCCTGGTAAAAAATAAAGTATGACATGAGGACTATAATGTCGCAAACTGAGATACGTCGTCTGGTAGTTTCACTGTCAATATGCATTGATTTTCTGTGCAGTGGCATTGACAGCTTCTATGCTAAAAATACCCATATATGCCTTTCAACATATGCTATTCATGTGTTGTATGTGGCTTAAGGAAAAGTTTCTTTTGAATTTTCCATAAAAAAGACTTACACGACTTGCTGCAGATACTCCTGACCAGAAGTTGGCGTCTTAGAGAGATCAGTGTCTGCAGACAGTTCACCAACATCAAGACAAACATTTCTAGGACAGTACTCATCCTCCGAATCATACCCATGGGTTGAATACATCTCGTTACTGGAGCTTTCAGAGCTGTATCGTTAAGAAGACGTTACCTGTAAGTACAAGCGGGGTAGGTTATAAAATGGGTCAACACCTGCACCTTCAAGTTCTTCAAGAAATTCTTTAAAACACTTTGAGACTGCCATGCATTGACATCTTGGACAATGATTAAAAAGACAGCTTTACAAGGAGCTTCCGCACAAAGAGAAGACTGTGCCTGTTCACTCGGATCCTTGAGCATCGTGTTGCCATCAGCATGATCACGAACTGATTACAATAGGATTTGAGGCAAACTTGAGGGAAATATTTAATTACAAATTGCAAAAATAAAAAAAGTACCTTCCACCTGGATACTGAAACCGGCGTGTAAGTAAAAACCGTAAAAAGACCTATAACTACCAACACTGCTGGAAACAGCAAAGCTCTGATCGAGGACGCGCCCCTCCGAAAGTATTCAGGACTAAGCTCTTGAAGAAATGACTGAAAAATCTATACAGTCTAGGATTTTTAAAATTTTAAAAATGAGAACTTTTACAGGAACGAACTAGGTACATGTAAACGAAAGAGGACGAGCACATTTCTGAACATAACCTACAATTATAAACAAAACATAAAAGGCCCTGTTGCACAATGTGACACCGCGTTGCCATATTACGTAAAAGAGCAAGAGGCTCCTGATAAGAAGATTAGCGACAGTCCTAGGGGAGAGGGGGACAGTTGCCCCTACCTCGCAATTTATTAAATCTTCTCGGAGCACAATTTCAATAATTTTTTCTTTAATAATTTCTCTTCAATAATTTGTTCTTGTATACGGCATAACTACCTGACTCGGTCGAATTTAATCACCCAAATTCCTCCGCAGTTCAAAAAGACTAAGTATGGTGAGTAAGTAACGTAGTTAATTTTGTGTCGATGAATGTAAGTAGAGGGGAAGCCTTTAACAGAGTAAGTTTTGAGAATCCCTTATTGATTCGATTTACATCTTAGTTTTAAGAAGTCCTTCATCAATGAAGTTTTAACAGTAATCACAGGAAAGCTTCATACGTCCAGTAATCCGCCCCCACCATGCATTTCCACCTTGCAGTAGAACTCGGGCTCATAAATACTCTTGTACGTTTCAAAAGGAACTTCACGTCAATGAAAGCGAGAACTAACAGTAAGTGTGCCTAGTACTATTCAAATAAAAAAACAGTGACAAATGCTGTGTCCAGTTTGGTCGTTGCAGGTTTTCACCTTCGCACGGAAGTATCTAACTTAAATTGTTCAAAGAGAAAACTTCGATTATTCAGGACCAGGTTGGAAGGAAGGCGTAACTTGAAGTAGACCCTTTCATAATCTTCTGAGGCATTTTTTGAGGGTGCAGAAATTAGGCGCGCCTACCCCTTCCAGGAGCGAAATTTTTTTGCAAGGAAGGTTCCTTACTCTTAAAGGATGCCTGTCATTCTTGTTGTTGGTATGTTGGAGTGCCTTTAATTTCGTGTAATACTGTACAACACCTCTTTTGTGAAATAGTGAAGCGCCGTGGCACGTGGCACGCTGCGGCGCGGCCAGCCAGCCAGCACGGAACGCGCATTGGCACCTACAAACCTAAGGGATACCTCAAGCATTGCGCAATGCGTGAAGTATCTGCTTCGGTTTGTAGGCGCCAGTGCGCGTTTCGTGCTGGCAGCACGTCGCATCACTCCGCTTTATGCTAGGGCCTATTATTTAAACTCGCGGAGTCAGCGTTTTTCAACTCATGATTTTCATATGTTTTGCACACTCAGCATGGATTACTTTGATTAAAATTGATAAAAAAAAATATAAACATGAAAGGAAAATTTAATGTGTGTTTCGTAAATATTAAGGTGTTTCCTTGTCGTATTTAATGATTTTCGAAGCACATTAATTTTTTCTTTCATATTTTGTGCTTTTACTGTGCTGCAGCGTGGTGTGAGCGCAACCTGACGCTCAAAATAGGACGTATTTGACTCTGAAAGATCGATGTACCAATGGGCTAAAACCGAAGACTCCGTGTGCTTCTCGGTTTTTCCCTCTTTTATTCATTTGTGTATAGTTTTTTTCGGCACAATACTACTGCTCATTGACTTTAATATCGATGCCATTGCTTGGAAAAGATTTTACAAGTATTTGCCACGTTTTAAAAATGTAAATGTTTTTAAATTAAAGTAATATTTTCATTTAACAAAAAGTATTTATAAGGTTTATTTTTCATCGGAAATAAGGATGGAAATAAAACCAAATATTCACTCATGACAATTTAAAAATATTGATCAAAAGAAGCAAATAAAATTTCATTTAAAAATGATTTCAACAACAACTCTTCCGTCTCTCTCAATTTTCTCATTTCATTATTGTCAATATAATTTTACATACGAACTAAAATATGACACTTGGACTAAGTCACTGTCGCTTATTTCACGCGTGGACGTAAACCACTAGACAAAACAGGTGTGCGGACAAAAAATCGTTGACGGAATGCCCTGAAACCGATTTGGCACCTATATGATGACTTTTATTTGTGAGAGCTGCAAAAAAATTCCTTGACAGAGAGAAAGCAGCTTTGAAAGCTTTAGATGCGGCGCTGAAGTAAAAAAATGGCTTTTCAATTGTATTTCTTGAGTGACAAGAAATGAGGGATATTTGTGTGGAGTATAGTCAGAGAACATGTAATATATATTAATATTGACGGACGGGGTATGTATGTCCGACATCTCTTCCTCGGCCAATTTGTCTATTACACGAAATTTTACCGGAATATACTACGAAGGTCAGGGATCAGCACTGCGGGGGTCATAAGTCTCAATCTCAAAAATCCCTTCAGTATTCCCTTAATAAACGAGCTTTTTCCTCCTTTTAACTTATATATGTGGATACTGCCACTGAATTCATATCCATAGTAATTTTTAACGGAAACTCGTTGTTCTTCAAGATTACTTTATAATACAAAAGAATGGTCTGTTTGATAGATGAAATTGAGTTTATGAAATTTCCAATGACCCTTTTTCCTCGATGCAAAATTGATCCGAGTATCCACTATGATTCACGGAAAAAACAAGATTAGTGTTGGGCACTACTGGCCGTTTCGTGGTGAGCAGTTGAGGGCTGGCGTCTAGGCGCTGTACAGCTCAACACAGGAAGGCAGTAGAGGTGAGCACTGAACACCAGTAGTGCCAATCATATGCCGCGAGACGCAGTTGCGCTTAACAGATGTTTTAAAGTCGCAAATTTGGATTGTTTCTCATGGAAGAGATGAAATAAGATCGGAAATTTTGAAACATCGCAATGGAGATACGTGGTTTCGCACTTCAGTCGGTGCGATACGGACATCCATCCAGTTTAAATAGCTGCATCAAGTCCCCGTCAACCCGCCGACCAACGCATCTGTCGATCGAATCAACTACAGGTAGTATGAGCAGGGAGTCAAAACGCCTTCAATTTTTTGGACGCAATACGGACATCCGTCGAGGTTGTATAGTTGTATCAAGGCGCCGTAGCAAACGCGTCCCATTGTTTATCGTTACAGACGAATATAAGTTGAGAGAGGCCAGTCATAATGCCTTCAATTTTATACATACATATTTTAGGGCCAAATGAGAGACGACGTTTCTACATTTGCGACGTTGCAGACTTCCTTAGAAATTTTATTTTTCTTTCGAGAAGCTGGTCAACATACAACTTGAATTCTCCATGATTTTTCGTATTCGATAGCAGAAGATTTGGTTCAAAACTTAAATTGGCAAATTTGGATAGTTTCTCATGGAAGAGATGAAATAAGAACGGAAATTTTGAAACACCGCAATGGAGATACGTGGTTTCGCACTTCAGTCGGACCGATACGGACATCGAACAAGCTTAAATAGTTGCATCAAGTCCCCGTCACCGCCGACCAACGCGTTTGTCGATCGAATCAACTACAGGTAGTAAGTAGGAGCAGGGAGTCAAAACGCCTTCAATTTTTAGAACGCAATACGGACACCCGTCGAGGTTGTATAGTTGTATCAAGGCGCCGTAGCAAACGCGTCCCATTGTTTATCGTTACAGACGAATATGAGTTGAGAGAGTTAGTTAGTTATTATAATTTTGAGACATTCAGCGACTCAGGCTATGCCTTCAATTTTATACGTACATATTTTTGGGCAAAATGAGAGACGAGGTTTCTCCATTTGCGACGTTGCAGACTTGATTAGAAATTTTATTTTTATTTCGAGAAGCTGGTCAACATAGAACTTAAATTCTCCATGATTTTTCGTATTCGATAGCAGAAGATTTGGTTCGAAAGGAGGGGTCGCGATTTGGGCCGAAACCGGCCCCTCCACGGAATTGAGAAATTTTTGGATACATGGCACTTGACGGTACATATTTGACAGAAATAATCGAGTCTTGCCGATACTACCGTTTTTTGGCTGCAAAACAGTGGCCAAACATGGCTCCAGAGCCGAAAATCGCTGAAATTGCGCGTTTTTCGCGGCTCTACCTAACATTTTGACCTGGGTCCAAAGGCGACGGGTGATGAGCTTCGAATATGGTGTCAAGAACACCTAGACACGTAACATACTTGAATATGATCAACCGTCGCCTTTGGGCCCAACTTCAAAATCGAACTTTCCAACTTTTTAGCCCGAAATAGCTGAAAATCTATGTTTTTCGCGGTTCTACGTCCAATTTCTACCTGGGCCCAAAGGCGACGGGTGATCATATTCAAGTATGATACGTATCTAGGTGTCCTTGACACCATATTCGAAGCTCATCACTCGTCGCCTTTGGGCCCAGGTCGAAATGTTGGGTAGAGCCGCGAAAAACGCGAAATTGCAGCGATTTTCGGCTCCAGAGCCATGTTCAGGCCACTGTTTCGCAGCCAAAAAATGTGAGTATCGGCAAAACTCGATTATTTCTGTCAAATATGCACCGTCAACTGCCATATATCCAAAAATTTCTCAATTTCGTGGAGGGGCCGATTTCGGCCCAAATCGCAATCCCTCCTTTACCTACAGATTCCACAGGCTGCCATAGCCCGATGGTAACGCGCTGGTCTACCATCAGCGCGATCCGGGTTCAATCCCAGGCGGAGGCGCCTCATATTTTACGCTCGCCAAAATCACTTTACGGTTGGACACTACTATTTCCTTAATGACCCAGCCTCGAACTGTTTAGTGTCCAGCACTACTCGGAGTAGGTGGCTCCATTTGATCTAAACCAGTTTAGTGCCCAGCTCTACAGTGTAGAGCCCACCGCTACAGCTGTTTTTTCCGTGTTTTGAATTAAAAATTGTAAGATTTTGGGTGACCAAATGCGTATGCCCTCAAATTAGGAGGAAACATCTTTACCCGGAATTTTTATTAAAAGTAAATTATGAAGCAAAGAAATATTCTATCTAGTGTCTGAGTGTGTGTCAATTTCAACAGTGCGGACTGTATATCCCTGTGGAATTCCGCAAGTCTTTTCTTCAGACATTCATGTCAGTCAAGTGGAAGCCGACGTATAAAATTACTTGCACTATACGTATTTATACACATTTATATGAGTAATCCGTATTCATCGGATTTATTATTTCCATCTACATCCTTTTATTGATAAAGTGTATCGTAGCAACGATAACTGTGTAGTTTTTAGAGTTATGTAATGCTTCCTTAATTAAAATGATAAATCATAAATAAACTCAAAAATGAATCATAAATGAATAGTCCTTAATCATTATAATTTTATCACCTCTATCCGGGAATCTTCATTTTTACCATTAACCAAGCCAAACTCCCATTCTTTTAGGTACTTGATTTTATAGTTATTATTCATCTGAACTTTTTCACCTAATATTAATTGAATTTTTTCATATCAGCTGTTATCAGTTTAATATTTTAAGGTTTCTCAGTGATTTTTTAAGTATTTTAATCATCATTTTTTAAAAATTTCAGATTCAACTGGTCTAATCTACATCTCATTAGAAAGTGTCAAACTTGATTTCGGATTTGGACGAATATTCTTACGGTAAATGATTGATACCGTGACGAGTATAGTCCGAGAACATGTAGTTTATGATGAAATAAAACATATTTCAACGAAAATCCCTGTCTTTATTAAACGATCCCCGTATTTTCAAAACCTCTAGGCTAGCACCACCACTGCTGAGTACTTTCCTTCAATGGGATCACTCAACGTGAACTTTTACTTTTGCTGGAACACAAAATATTGTAATAAATCGCTTTTTTGGGCCCAGTGTTGAAAAACTCATTCAAACATTTTAGAGCTTAAATATCCTGGCCGTATTGCTTAATTCATAATTGCTCCTCGTGCAAATGCGTTCATCAGTTGCGATGCTTTGACCTTTGGAGTGTCGTATGTTTTATGATTAATAATGTAAGCTGCGTCAAGTGGAGTAGCCAAAATTACCATGAATCCCGAGCTTAAGGTTCATTTTTCAGCCCGCAAATCGAGGTTTGTGACCGGACTGACAGATTCCCCTTTTACGTGCGTCAGTCCCACGAGAATGTGGCTTGAATTAGGAAAAAAAATTCCCGGAAAAACCACTTTGGAATGGGTTAAATAACTGGGGAGGGCGTCAAACTCTTTCAGATGTCAGAGTTTGTGCGCGATGGTGAACCACGCTTTTCCGACGTTGCTTCTGCTGGCGCTGGGCACCGGTGCCATGCCGAGAAAATCGTGGGGGAGAGAGATCCCTTTCCGGGGGCACTTTCTGTCTCCGTACGGCTCCGAAGATAAGGCTTCTGAAAACTTACGAGGTATATGTTATATTTTGTTCGTGCATAACGATGGCTTTTTGAAATTTTCTAACTTCTCTGAATTTGACATATTTAAGCTAAACGAAGCTACACTGAAAAAAAAATTCTCGGCGTTTTTACCAAGGTCCGTTGGTACCTTTACCATCTCACTTTTTTACCAATTATTGGTAATTTTACCAAGACAGACTGGTAAACTTACCTAAAAACCGGTATTTTTACTGTTTTTTTCAGGTAAGAATACCACTTTTATTGGTAATCAATTCCCGGTAACTTTGCCATTTTATCTCGGTAATTCTACCACAGTCGATAAAAAATAATGGCGTTTTTACCGGGGTCCAGTAAAATTACTGAGAAAGTCGATAATTTTACCGAGATTTCTCGGTAAAATTACCAATTCCATAAATGGTAATTTTACCAAGAAAAAACTGGGATCAAATAGAACCCTGAATTCTTGGTAATTTCACCCTTTTCTTAGTAAATACACCGAGATTTTTTTTTTCAGTGTATGTGCATTGGAATCGTGTACAAACATAGTTCCTTTTCGCATAAATATACATCCAATTCTCTATCATCAGGGAATTTTTTGCCGAGGGCACGGTTTTATGTGCATTGTACAACTCCCACTCTCAACTCTCACTTCAGAGTCCTCTGAACGGTGCATGCTTTTGCGGAGTGAAAAGTATGAAAAAAGGATGATCATCATTTGAACCGCGTTAAGAAGAAAAGAAGCAAGCCACATCAGCTACTGCCACTCTGAAAAAAAAAAAAAATCCGGCCGTGGAAGCCGTGCTCACGAGCTATATAGACTTACCGTCCGCGTGCCGGGCTCGGAGGTCGAAAGTTCCAGACATAGCACCCCGAGTAATCGAATGATACGGCTTCGGCACCCGGAAGTTTCGGCCTCTGAGCCCGAAACGGACGGTCTATACGGACCGTAACTTTTCTTTTAGAGCAAACTTGATTTTTTTTCATGGAAACGGTTTCTCGAATTTTGTGCAAATTTCAGAGAATTTTCTGTATAGTACGAAGCAATTTCCTTAACATTTTCAAAGGAATCCGCAAAAACGTTTTATAGTAAAACATTATAAATTTCCCAGTTACATTTGGCAATGGCTGATGTGGCTTGGTTCCTTTTTGCTAAACGGGGTCTATTTTTTTGCTGAAGGAACATAGTCAATGAAATCCGGGACCGGGACCGGGACATCAACGCGAGACAAAACACCACGAAAGACGTGGCTGCAAATTCAACAAAAACTTGAGAGCAAATAACAGGTTCAACTCGATCGACTTATTTCTACAATATTTTTCTTTTTACATTTTTTTAACCTGGAAAAAATCCTTTATTACCTTGTCTGAGCATAATGGACCACTAGACAAGGTACGAATTTCAATATTCTGATACATGTTTCTTTACTAAAATTTCACGTAGAATACGACGCGCACAACGAAAATTACCGAAATCAACACCTTCCAAAGATATTTAATGATTCTTGATGCGTGAATTCAAACCACCCGCTCATGAAAACTCAATGCTCTGCGTGATTCACATCGTGCGCTGAACGTTATAATGACAGTCTCTGCGATATAAAAATCTGGTAACCCCAATCTTGACGCTTTGGCTCAGCTGTAGCAAATTGCTTATAGTTTGAACAACACATGGTGGGAAATGAACATGAATCGATTGAGAAGCTTGTTGAAACCGTTGTATAGTGCTCGATTTGACTCACGTAGAGCTTTGAGTTTCTTATGAGCGGACAGTTCAAATTCCTCGTAACCAATGTGAAATAAAAACGTTAATGTCTTCGTTAGGAGTTTGTTTCATTAGTTTTCGTTGCGCGAATCGTGTTTTACGTGAAATTCTGGTTAAGAATCATGTATCAGAATGCTTAAATTCGTACCATGTCTAGTGGTCCATTGATTTCAGTTTGATTGGCCACAGATTTCCTCAACACGCTTTACGTACGTTCTTTTCAGATATTGAAGGGAAAGCAAGAGACCCGGAAAATATGGGAACTGGGACAGTCCGGTTATGCCCAGTCCACGAGTCGTTCAATGTTGATGATGGCTTTAGCATTCATGACTTAAAAGATATCGGCCTCCAGTACGGGACGAGGGGAGATTTCGAGAGAATGTTGAAAAAGTACAGGGACAAATATGGTACGTATGATACAAATAGTCACGAGACGGTACGAGTACATATATAAGCACCACAACATAAATTACCTTTGATTTATAAATTATGACATACATTCTATTGAAAATTCACCTCTTTTCCTTAAAAAAAAAACCTATCCCAACGAGTTTCGGACCGCTTAGGAATCCATCTTCGTGGAAAAAAAGAAGTAAAGGTTAAATCCCAACGTGGAAATTTCCAATTAATTGTGGTAATAATCCATTAAATTAGGTTATACTATCCCAAATGTTGTCGTGCTACCCGACTTGAGTCGCGGTATGCTACCAAAATTAATTGGAAATGTCCTGTCTATACCACATATTGGAGTAGTACCACAATTTTAGGGGATAACCCTTAAAACTTTTTTCCCACACTGGTAAAAAAACCTCTTGGTTCAAGAGTGCAGTTTCTTGTCGCCGGATTTAAGAGTCTGGACTCTTGTTTCAATGCAAAATCCGCTTGAATCAATGCAAAATCCGCTTGAAACAAGAGTTCAAGACTCTTAAATCCGGCGACAAGAAACTGCACTCTTAAGTCAATGCAATGCAGCATTGGTCCAAGAGGTTTTTTTTTTTTTTTACCAGTGCATGTTGTCAGTTCGCAACTGACCCAAGATGAAGATCGACTCCAAATTAAGCGATCCGAAAGGTGCCTTAAGCTGAAAAATTTTCAAGAGAAAAAGTAAGTTTCTCAAAAATTTACCTTATATCTCATACGCTGACATAATCTTTTCCTGGTTTTCAAAAATTCACGTCATACCATGCCTGATAAGTTACTTCGACGCAATTTTACGCAGAGTACGATGGACGAATTGGACTGCATTTTGCAATTTGGAACTATAAATCCTAGCTCATCCGAAAAAAACACATATGTACATAGAGAAAATAATGGCACATACGTTGTTTTTAAACCGGGCCAGAATTTATAGTTTCAAATTGCAAAATGCAATCCAATTAAAACTTACAAAATTAGACTCGTATAAGTTAGAGGAAGCGGTTTCCGGTCGCAGTCAATTAATACTTCCCACTCACAATAAAAACAGTCTACCTGTACTGGAGTTGAGTCGAATACTATATTGATTTCGGTTTATTTCACGATGGAAGGATTTTCCATAGCTCTGACTTTTTTACGAGGTTAAAAGTGCCTTGAACCATAATAGGAGGATGATCTATGCATTAAATCAGGCTCTAGTTGTTTTTCGAACTTATAAAGGGTTGATTTTAATGCCTTAACTTGACCGATGCTGACGGTGATCCATTTTCGAACGATGTCGTTTCTTTGCCATTTTGACAATGAAAATAAGCACGAAAGAGCTCCCAGTCTTGTTTTAATTGCATGCAAAATTTTTGAAAATACGTGTTTCAGTGCGGCATTTAAAACATAAACCTTCGTGCAAACCTTTTTGCACGCGCTCGCTCACGAGGAAAGTGGTTCCATGAAAAGCGGATTTGACATGATCTGTGACACGCGAAGCTTTTGATAATTGCCACAGCTGGTAAAATGAAATGCCTCGTAAAGAAAAAAACGGTCGTGTACGCATTTGAATCACATATTGCAGAAAGGGCACTATTGCAGAAATGTTAACTGTTCAGAAAATGCAAAAAACTGATTTGAGTAAACTATAAGCTTTTGGAAAAAAAATTTTCGATGTTTTCTTTTGTCCCCCAAGTAGACTGACAATTTCCATAAAAAAATTTTACATGATACTCTTTCTGGGTTGTAAATAATGACACTTGAAGGAAGAGCATTAGTGCCCTTTCTGAAATACATGGGGGAAGGAGCCATAAAGAGTGATGGAATGAAGCCAGAAAATTATTTTAGCCCTTGTTTTTCATCTCAAACGTATGGCAATGATGCATGTCTATAGCGAAAGTTGGAAATTGTACATCTCCATTGCAACGTTTCAAAATTTCTGCTCTCTTTTTATACTATTTTTTTAAAGAGAACTAATAGAGATTTTCCCATGAAATTTTCCGAAAACAATCTTGATGGTGTGAAGAAAGTTTACACAAAATTTTAAAAGAGAATACTTAAGAACAAAAAAAGAAGACGAAATAAAATTGGCAATGTCGCAATTGATGGTATGCGATTTCGAACTTTCACCATGTGGTTTGCCCGTAGCTATGTAAATTTTAAAAATATTTCTGGCTTATTTCAA